TTTGAGGCATAAAACATGAAGAAATAAATTTGGAAGGGGTATAAAAAAAATTGGCAAGTAACACACTGTCCACACTAGGGACTATATTCGTGGACAACGAAAGGACGATAACTGTGTACTCAGACCTATTATAGGTCAAAGTACGGCCTTCAACATAACTGTACTTCTCATGAGCCTTTTACTTAACTGTTTTTCTCATGAATATAAACAAACTGTATATCTCATTAGTATATAACATAACTTTACTTTTCATGAGTATATAATATAATGCAATAACTCATGAGTATATAACATTATTGAACTTTTCAAGAGTATATAACATCACTCAATAATTCATTAGTATATAAAATAACTATAATTTTCCTGAGAACAACTTTACTTCTTATGAGTATATAACATAACTGTACTTCTCATCAGTATAAAACATAACTACTTCTCATGAGTATATACTATAACTGTTTTTATCATTAGAATATACCAAAACTGTACCTAACACGAGTATATAATATAACCGTTCTTTTCATGCATAAAAACTGTTCTTCTTGTGAGTATATACCATAACTGTACTTCTCTTGAGAATTGAACACAACTGCACTTCTTATTAGTATAAAACATTACTGTATTTCTCATGATTTTACATAAATGTACATAAATATATAACATAACTGCACTCATGAGTGTAAAGTATAACTGTATTTTTTATGAGTAAATAAAATAACTTACTTCTCATGAGTAGATAACATAACTCTATGTCTTATGAGCAGATAACATAACTACTTTTCACAAAATTATAACATAACTGTACTTCTCATGAGTAATAAAATAGCTGTATTTCTCATGAGTAATAACATAGCTGTATTTCTCATGATTATAAAACAAAACTATAAATCTCATGAGTATACAACTTTAATTTACTTCTCATTAGTAGATAATAAAACTGTAATTCTATTAAGCTAAAAATGAAAGAGTTTAAATTTGCAGTTAGTGAAAGATGTTCTATCTTTTCTATCTCAGAGTAATTATTAAACAGACAAAAACAAATAATAGAAATAAGAAGATGTGGTATGAGTGCCAATTAGACAACTCTTCATCCAAGTCACAATGTGTAAAAAGTAAACAATTATAGGTCAAAGTACGGCCTTCAACATGGAGCCTTGGCTCACACCGAACAGCAAGCTATAAATGACCCAAAATGATTAGTGCAAAACAATTCAAACAGGAAAGCCAACGGTCTAATCTATATAAAAAACGAGAAACGAGAAACACTTATGAACCACATCAATGAAAAGACAACCACAGAACAACAGCTCCCGACTTAGAATAGGTTCATTCTTCTGTCATGAAAACGGTAAATATGCTAGATGTACTTACTGCAAGTGTGATGAGATGATCGAAGCTGTAATCTTTACTTCATTCAATTGGTAAATTCAACAACACTTACCGTTATCTTGATGATATTTTTATCGTTAAATAATCAAGAGTTCTCTAAATAAATCGTTTCGGAAATACGTTTTATCGATGAATACAAAGATTTAGTTTGGAAGTGTGGCTGTACCTGAAGAAAACCTATTACAAACAGGATAGCACATCTGAACTTTTACGGTTATGTTGATTTATGTTCATACGCTCAGCTGTTATGTGTGGAGCATGTGGAGCAGGATCTGCTTACCCTTCCGGAGCACCTGAGATCACCCCCAGTTTTTGGTGGGGTTCGTGTTGCTTAGTCTTTAGTTTTCTATGTTGTTTCTTGTGTACTATTATTTGTCTTTTTATTTTTTAGCCATGGCGTTGTCAGTTTATTTTCGATCTATGAGTTTGACTGTCGATCCCTCTGGTATCTTTCGCCCCTCTTTTATGTCTGTTTGTTTTGGTCACACATTGTTGTCAATATAATGGAATTCTAAGCGACTGTCATACAAGTGAGAGGCTTAGCTAGCCATACAACCAGGTTGAATCCACTATTTTCTACATAAGGAAATGCCTTTACCAAGTCAGGAATATGACAGTTGTTTTCCATTCGTTTGATGTGTTTGAGCTTTTGATTTTGCCATTTGATAAAGGACTTTCCGTTTTGAAGTTCTCTTGTAGTTCGGTATTTTTGTTATTTTACTTTTTAATACGCTATGAACATTGTATAAAACAAATATTAACTATGGAAAAAAGTTTACCTTAAGGTAGATAGGGTGTCTTCCTCCATCTTGGATTTTGAAATACCAGAAAACAATCGGTCTAGATCTTTAATAAAAGGTGCAAATTTTGAGAGGAGTAGGTAATTCATGTGTAAGAATTTTCATTTAAATATAGAAAATGACATATTTTATCATATTTATGGTTGTATTTTACAAAAAAAAACAGAATACTTTTGTTTGATTCTATTTTTTCCAACTTTGCCACTTAAGGGGAGGCAACTCAAATGTAAGGGCAGGTAATTCAGATAAAGTTACTTTTACAATAGAATGTGTTAGGAATTTACCTATTTTATTATGTAGCAAGAAAACGGGTCCCGTGACCCCATTTTTTCTTTTTCTTATCTGAAAGCATACTAATAGAGCTATCTTCTCATATTTTATCTCAAAATTCTATGGTGTAGTTTTCGTTTTATGGCAGAAAATTGGGTTTTCCATGCATAATCTATACAAAATCTGTCAATTTTGCACAACCTGTAGCGTGAAAAAAAGCCCCGTGACCCATTCTTTTTATTATAATTTTTTAAAAAGCATGATATAAACTACATTTTGGCAAATTATTAAAAAATTCTATGGATTATAATTTAGACACCCCATCTACCTTAACTCGAATATTAAAATTATTGGTGTTGATATAAAAATAAGAAGATGTGGTATGATTGCCAATAAGACAACTCACCACAAGAAACATATGACACAGAAATTAACAACTATTATAGGTCACCGAAAGGCCTTCAACAATGAGTAAAACCCATACCGCATAGTCATCTATAAAAGGCCCTGAAATGACAAATGTAAAACAATTCAAACGAGAAAACTAACGGCCTGATTTATGTACAAAATATAATATGAGCTTGGTTATGACGTTGTGTAGATTGTCGAGTCACACAAGGGACTTATTCTTTTCATTGCGTTCGAGTTAAGGTGGTACCAAACACTTTGACTAAAATTAGTTTTCATAAAATTTTAACAAAATATTTACTGTGACCCTTTGACAAAAATATAAAAATTTCAAAAAACTTGAACCACACACTTTATCGGAAAAATTTCATTGGATATATAGCAGTTTGACAAACACTAATTTTGATCATTGAGAAGCTTAATATATCCTTAACAATAGAACGTGATTAAAACGTTCAGCTGTTTTTAACAGAGCTATCTCCCTGTTGTGTTATGTACCACCTTAATCCCGACCAATAGATAATACTGCTAGTATATTGATTAAAAATATTGTCTCATGGTTTTTGACGCCCGCCAAAATTATAAATTGGGTATCTTTGATGAGTTTGTTTATATGTATATTTCAGGCGAATTGATTTCAACATGTGGACAACAATTGAGGATTTCACTTTTGAGTCTCTGAATGCATTAGAGGTTTTGTAAGTATAATCTATATGATTGCATTAGAGGTTTTGTAAGTATAATCTATATGTTGTGTACAAATTGTATTTTGTGCTGATTATTGTATGTACATAATTGCTGTGCACGTTATCAGTATTTTGAGGACATCGAAACATAATTTGATAAAAATCAGTTTAAATAGAAGGATATTTTGGAATACAACAATGAAACAGCAACCTAACGACAAAAACTACCTTTCAGGAGCCAACATATAATCTTAAAACAGTATTTCAAAATCTTAATGATCTATGAAAGTTATGAAAACATTGCAAGAAACAATCAAAGCGCTACCATTACTACTTATTCTCCAAATAACGAAAAACATCACATTATGACATACAACAACTACATATAAGTGTTTTGGCTTGGGACAATATGGCAGGGTTAAACCTTTTTTTATTAGATCTCAACTCTCACTTATTAGGGAATTCCAATTGAATCATGAGATTTAATTAGTCAGTTTTTGTAGTAATAAACTGTGATATCTCCTATTATACTGTGTTTACTCCTCCTATACTATGTTGACTCCTATATTGTATTGACCCCGCCTATATTGTGTAGACTCCTCCTATATTGTGTTGACTCCGCCTATATTGTGTTGACTCCTATATTGTGTTGACTCTGCCCTTTATCATGTTGACTTCTCCTATATTGTGTTGACTCCTCCTATATTGTGTTGACTCCTATACTGTGTTGACTCCTATATTTTGTTGACCCCGCCTATATTGTGTTGACTCTTCCAATATTGTGTTGACTCCTCCTATATTGTGTTGACTCCTCCTATACTGCGTTTACTCCTATACTGTGTTGACTCCTATATTGTGTTGACTCCGCCTATATTATGTTGACTCCTCCTATATTGTGCTGACTCCTATACTGTGTTAACTCCTCCTTTTCTATGTTGGATCCTCCTATAATATGTTGACTCCTATTCTCTGTTGACTCCTATACTCTGTTGACTCCCCCTATATTTTGTTGACTCCTCCTATATTGTGTTGACTCCTCCTTATTGTGTTGACTCCTCCTATATCGTGTTTAGCGACCTAGACCACTCACCCAACAGCTTCTGTTAATCGAGTGATTTTCTGTGTTATATAGTGTGTGAGCTTTTTATGCATATGTTTGAGTATTAATAAGAACTTGTTACTATGATATGTTGATGAAAGTAACCGGCAGAAATGTTTAACATAAAAAAGAAAATAAACAATTCTCTTAGTTTCTACTTTGTTTGTTTATTACCCATTTAAAAGTAATTTTAAACAATGCTCCGGAAGGGTAAGTATGGAAATGGGCATGATTTTATGTACTTTTAAATCAAATTATCATTGTTCAAGTACAACAATGTTAGTAATTATTGTTCCAAGTTTTAACTATACATAGTTGTTTTTCTTCATTTTCTTGTTACAGACGCCTAGATAACAATCGAATTTCCAGAATGGCTGAATCTGCGTTTTACGATCTATCGAGTTTGAGAATCTTGTAAGATTATTACTCTGTTTTTCAGTTGATCTTGATTGTTATAATGTTACATTATTCAAAAGGATAAGATACAAATTTATGATGAGGTATTTTCAATACACAAAGTTTGTATTGTTTTCCATGCATATTGAGACATTTAAGGAATGACTGTAATATTTGTTTTGTCTATGAAGAAATAACATAAAAATGTGGTGCACACTGAATAACTCGCGTAGCGGGTTATATAAAAGTGTGCACCACGTTTTTTAGGTTATTTCGAATAGACAGAAAAAATATTAGTCATTTCTTATGATTTTAAAATTTTAAAAAGGAGTAAATCATGATAAAAACGTTGATGACGTCACGGTCACATGACAAAATTATGTCTATGAGCTGATAGACAAAACACTTTACGCCCATCAGAAGACGTGTTACATCCAGAATTAAATTATAAGCAGTTAAACAATTTATGATGAGGTATTTTCAATACACAATGTTTGTATTGTTCCATAGGTATTGAGACATTAGCAGTTAAACATATCTTTATGCTACAACTAAAATACATAAACTCATCACTGGATTAACATGTTGTTTACAAAAGACTCATCAGTGACGCTCGAATCAAAAAGGTTAAATTGGCCAAATAAAGATCGAAGTTGAAGAGAATTTAAGACCCAAATTCCGAAATGTTTTGCCAAATACAGCTAAGGTAGTCTATTCCTGGGTAGAAAATCATTAGTTTTTCGTCAAATTCAAAGTTTTGTAAACAGTTAATTTCTAATTATGACCATATCCATGATAATCCATGTCAACACAGAAGTGCTGACTACTAGGCTGGTTATGCAATCGGAGAGGAAACCTCCACCAGTAGTGGCATCGACCCAGTGGTTGTAAATAAACTCATCATAGATACCAGGATTAAAAAAAGAAAAAAACCCGACACAAATCACACACATATGTAATTATCATTGTAACATTATCTGAATTAAGCCGTGATTAGTAGGTTCTTTTGCGGAATGATGTATTATGAGTTTGAAAATAATTTGTATTCTGATTATCTGACAAGATCCTATACAAATACATTTCATGTAGATTTGATTGTCAGTTCTGATAAATATATATTTTCTTCGAGGATTCCTCCTGATTCTGTATATATATAAAGACCTCAGTCCTCGCTGGTAAATTTGTACAAAGCACAATTAAAAAAGTGTTGCCAACATCGAGAAAACATATAAAAAACCAAACGATAGTCCACACAAACAATACAAAACAAAACCAAAGATTCAATCAAGACATAGATATCTATTGCCAGAGACATTCAGTAGTTCTTTTTAATTAACGAGTACATGCAAATTATCCAAACCATATTGCGAAATACTTAAAGATTTTCTTGGCAAAGAACAGACAAACTTGTGCCAATAGACTATTTTCATATTACCGACTTTTGACTCCGGATTATATAATTTGTCGACTGGTTACCTTGGACATCATGGTACCAAGTCAGGTAAGAGCAAGCTAAAGAAGTAAAACCAACCTTTCAATCGGTACAATTTTGGGGGAAAATTACCTGGTTAATATTTTTTTTTCACTACAAAATCATCGGAAAACAGTAAACTTTCCCCTCAAATTACACCGATTATATGTTTGATTTTACTTATTTTGACTGCTCTTACTTGACCGAGTACCATGATGTCCAAGGTAACCAGTCGACAAGTTATATAATCCGGAGTCAAAAGTCGGTAATATGAAAATAGTCTATTGGGATAATTTAAAAGAGAAAAATCAAAAGTTCAACACGGAAAACACGGAAAACAAAGACACACACGGAGACATATAAAATAGTCAACATTCCCATTTATCGTGATCAAACATGGCCAAAACATTTTATTTTTCGATTAGTTATTATTGCCCTCATGTTAATGTCATATGTAACGAATTTCTTGGAATTATAATGTTAAGAAATTTATTGAACAAATACATGCATATATATTAAACTATGTCCTCTATGCACGTAAATCTATAACGTATAATCGAGAAAAATATTTCATTCAGTGATTGTTATCACAAAGCTGATAATTAACTTTCTGGTTTGTTGCCGAAGTTTACTGGATCGTGACCTTGAGAAATAATCAACACAGAATCATTGAGCACTTAAAAAATAATTGGGCTGATAGAGCGGTGTTCATTTTAATTTTATTTTCCATACGATACCATTGTTCATTAAACTTTTCCCTAACAGTTGTCAAACTATTTGGTGTGTTACAGTGCACTATTGTTTACATTCTTTTAATCATAGTTTTCTTGGCTGCTAACCAATGAAATCAGGTGAAAGTTTTCTGTGATAACTACGTACTGAACTGGGAACTGGGAAATTTGCGTTTCATTCACGTCGGGCTTTTTTAAAGTGAAATTTACTCTATGCAAAAAATGTTCTGTCCATATAAATGCATTTTGTAAGGCCCTAAACGCCAATTAGAAACCAATATAAATAAAAGATGTGGTATGAGTGCCAATGAGACAACTCTCCATCCAAGTCACAATGTATAAAAAGTTAACTATTATAGCATTGGCTCACTACGAACAGCAAACTATAAAGGGCCCCAAAATGACTAGTGTAAAACCATTCAAACAGGAAAACCAACGGTCTAATCTATATACAAAACGACAAACGAGAAACACCTATGAACCACACCAACAAACGACAACCACTGAACAACAGGCTAATAGAACCCAATAAATTGATGTTATACTTATGTTTATTTTACACACGTTTTAGGTTCTTATATCAATTAATAATGATCTTTTCTGTTGTAGACGGTTTGATAACAATTTTCTTACTTCAACTAGTGGCCTTCAAAATCTGACAACATTGCAAGTACTGTATGTATTCAATTCTTTCATATTTACATTTTATATAGTCTTTGTTGTACCATTAGCTATGGTATTTGTTACAAGACTGCTGGATGCCAATGATTATCAAATTATAACATATAATGTGTGTCTTTGTTGCTCACCTACTTTGTCAATATAACGGAACTATGTACAACTGTCATACAAATGTGAGGTTTAGCTAGCTATTAAACTAGGTTTAACACACCATTTTCGTCGGACTGTCTGTACTAAGTTAGGAATATGGCAGTTGTTTTTCACTTGGTCTGTTGATTAATAGCGTTTGATTTTCTCATTTTTTTTTATGGACGTCCCCTTTTTGAATTTTGTAATAACTTTTTACTTACTGTCTTATGGTTCATCAAAACGAATTGAAAAATATGGCCGTGTTTACACCACAAAATCTACTATGAGTACAGACATCTTGAAAAGTTTTAAGGCATGGCAGGACCTAGATACATAAAAGTTATATCTAGTCTTTGGGTCAGAGTTTGAAAAACTTACCTGGATTTTTTCTGCAGAAGATAGCAAAATAAACAAACACATGAGTTTCATTTGGTACGGTCAACTCAGTTACACAGTCTAAATTATCTATTGTTTGCAAATGTCTATTGTTCATCTATTGTCCAATTTAAATCAATACTACTCACAACATTTATGATATGAGGGGAGCTTCTCAAACCTCTATCTCAACTTAGTATATTTTGGCACCTTCTGCAGGAATGAAAAAAAATGAATAGCAAAATGCAGAAAAGTTTATAATTTTCTGAAACATAAAATGCATTTAAAATTTAATTATCTAGTTCCTGCCATGCTTTAAAACTTTTTCAGGTGCACAGGTTTGTCTGTACTCAGAGTAAAATTTGTGGTGTAAATACGGTCATATTAGCCAAAAGTTGATGATGAACCTTAAATTCATATGAGGCTGACTTCATACAGGGAATTCTTTGGAAGAAAGAAAAGAAGTTAGCAGTATCCTTAAACTTCACATTTTGTATATAGATGATGTTCTCTCATTAAATAATTCAAAATTTGGTGACTATGTTGAACGCATCTATCCCATCGAATTTGAGATAAAGGATACAACAGATACAGTTTAGTCTCCCTCATATCTTGACTTACATATAGAAATTGACAATGAGGGTCGGTTGAAAACAAAACTTTACGACAAAAGAGATGATTTCAGCTTCCTAATTGTGTATTCTAGGGCTTGTGTTTCCTATCATGATTTCCTTGAAAGAGGATTGCTGCTCACAAGGAAGCTATTAAACCAGGAGTTCCAAGTGGTGAAGTTGAAATCATCACTTCGTAAATTTTACGGACGCCATCACGAGTTGATTGAACATTATGGAATATCTGTTTCACAGTTGAAGTCAGATATGTTCCAATTATCGTAACTACAGAGGTCCCTGATGGGGGTGTCCAATTAATCACATAATCACAAATTTTTGCCAATATAATCACAGAATCATTAATAATTTTTTTAAACAAGATAATCAAATAATCAAAAATACAGTCCTAGATTATCAAATAATCAAATAATCATGAAATATTTTGTCTGGTAATCAAATAATCACTTTAAAAAACGGCCAAGTAATCACATAATCAAAAACCCCATGAGGAGGCTCACTAAAATCTCGCCCCCATCCCCCGTATGTAACATACCGAATTAGACATATCACCGGGTTGTACTTAAATGAGTAATACGACGGGTACCACATGTGGAGCAGGATCTGCTTACCCTTTCGGAGCACCTGGGATCACCCCTAGTATTAAAACCAGTTACCAAGTGAACTCAAAGCACTTGCCATTATTGATAAACTGTAAACAGTAGGTAACTTTTTTCATACAAATCAATTGTGATGATTATTGTTTCATGCATGCAAAGCAGGAAACATTTATAGTGATTTAGGTGATAACACAATGCTGACTGCTGTATCCCTATTTTTGACATTTTTACCTATTGTGTCTGTTTGTTTTAATCACACATCGTTGTCAATATAATGGAATTTGATGCGACTGTCATACAAGTAAGAGGTTTAGCTAGCTATAAAACCAGGTTCAATCCCCCATTTTCTACAGTACCAGGTCAGGAATATGACAGTTGTTATCCATTCTTTTGATGTGTTTGAGCTTTTGATTTTGTCATTTGATTAGGGACTTTCCTTTTTTAATTTTCCTCGGAGTTCAGTAATTTTGTGATGTTACTTTTTATCGTGTCAACGATCCAGTCTCGCCCCATTTGGAGTTTATGTGACTACCTCAGTTTAAATTGCTATTTGTATCTTCCATAATTATTTATGAGATTTAAACATCGGTAATCTATATAAGCTACTGGCGCCTAAATTTATGTTTTCTCCTTATGTTGTTAATTGGTTACATATTTCTAGACTCAAGTTAGTTAAATTTATTGTTTTTAAGGATGTTCACTCCTCTTGTTTTTGAATTTTTGTCAGATTTTCGGAATCCTCTGGTTTTATCCATGTACTGCCATAAACAAATTTCCCCGCTAACCCCTACTTTTCTTTTCATAATTTTATTACATATAGTTTAAAAAGCCCTTATTTAAAATGCTATAAAATCCTTGTTATTTTTTCATATTTTTTTAAAGAGTGCCAATGTTAAATGTATGAAAAGTCTAGAGAGAATCATTTCCCACCAAATTTTCAATGGCTTATATCTCGAAAACAAGCACACGGACCCTTCATTTTTTCTGCTTTTATAGTTCCTTTATTTATATACTATCAATTTATAACAGTCTTTTAAAAATTTGTTATTTTAAAACAGAGTAGCAAACATCCTTAAATGTAGAAATGTTAATGGTCGAATATTGAATCGATCTGAACATGCATGAAATAATTTCCACAGGACGTTAAGCAACTAACAATCAATCAAGCGAATTTTGAAGTGGAGAATTATAGAATAACTACATTATTTCAATAACAACATATTCAATTATACATTAGATTTTTTTGAATTGTTTGATGAATTTTCCCATTTTCAGACTTGTCAACTGAGTCATTTGGTAGGAAAACTCCAAAAGATTGTACCAGATTGTGTTTTTAAGACAATTGTTTAAAACTTCAGACGAAGTTTAGTAACCTATTTAGTTTTTGCACCTTCCTTTATTGAGTTGTTATATTTTATGTCTCATTTTTATACACCGTCCAAGACGGGTCGTATTATGGTATACCAATGTCCGTCCTTCAGTCCGTCAACACTTTGTACGATAAATCAAATTTGCTTAAACCAGTTCTCATGCTTTTTTTAATACACCATTAGGATTGACGGAACAATGCTCTTTTTCGATTATGAAGTTGTATTGCTATGCCGTTCCAGAGTTACGGGAATTTAACCATTATAATTAAGGCACATTTTCACATATCATGCACTAACTCCACTATACTAACTCCACTATACCTGGATTGATTTCCTCAAAACTCTACATTGTTGTTAAGAATGATAAAAGAAAGCTCCCTTTTAATCTTTTTTTTTTTTTTTCATTTTCTTCTTTTCCGTTCAAGACTTAAATGCGGGACTTTAATCGCTTGAATTAAGTCAATTTTTTCAAATATCACGCAACAACTTTGCGTGGATTGATTTCGTATATATCATATATTAACATATATCAATGAAGAAAATAAAGATTTGAAAAAAATGGATTTTTAAGAACATTTTGTGCAAATACATAGAAGTCAAATGGACTATAACAGGAAACTATATAGTAGAAAGAGAGAAGCTGTTAATAGTAAATTATATAGTAGATATAGAGAAACTGTTAACAGGAAACTATATAGTAGATAGTGAGATACTGTTAACAATTGTAAAGTAGATAAAGAGAAACTGTTTACAGCAAAATTGAATGAACAATAAAATGAGATCTACATATAAATCAAAAGACAAAGTTGAGTCCTTATTTTAGTTATTGCCTTCAATGATTTCTATCCCATTTTTGTTGTTTTTCTTGCTGTATTGAAAATTTGTATAGAAACAGCAAAACTTATCATTAAGATAATATCTACCATTAAGTAGACATAGCAGAAAACCTCTTTAAATGAGTAATTTTCAATGGACATTTTTACACATTTTTTTGTTTTTGATAAAATCTCGAGTATATTTTGATAGAGAAAAACTTTAATACGCATATAGATTAGAAAAACAACATCTTCAAATAAGGCAAATAGTCAAAATCTTCACTGAAATCCTTTTAGTTTGATCAGTTTAATAGATAGACTGAAATTTTGAACAGCAAAAATGATTAGCAGGACAAGATTATTGCCAAAATTCCAATCAACAGAAATATTTTTCCTTTATTTCAACATTTTTATGTGAATATAACAGGTCACCAATACATACTCCTTGGCTCCTCTAGATCTATTTGTTATCATTATGTAGTTAGAAAAAATGTAAAACGTGTTATATGGAAATTGACTTCACATGTTTTCAGAATAACTTCCTTTAGAAGACCAAAAGCAAAATTTCCCAAATGTCCCAGAGCGTCGGAACCATAAACAGATCAACCGCAGTGGACAGCTGCAACCTTTGATGAAGTCAACTAACGTATTCTAAAATGAAAATATGCTAATTCTATAATGTTGTTACAAATACCGTACAGTGTTGCTTTGAATGATATCCATCCAATTTCAGGTGCTTGAATGGTAACAAATTAACAGTCATTGACCAGTTTGCCTTCAAGAGTTGTGTAAATCTGGAAACTCTGTAAGTTCTGCAGTAGTACACAGCTTTTAATATAATCTACATAGTTTTATATTTACATTTATGTGTAGGAACTACTTTGTGTTTAAATATGTACTTCTTTCTAGTATGTTATTTTTTGACCGGGCCCGATTTGGTGGAGATACACCTTACAAAGTCTATCCAAATCATTTTGCAAAGAATTGGTGCTAGGGGCCTTCTAAAACTTGCAGTGAGGTGAGAGTTTTTTTTTTTTATTTTTGGCTCCGAGTTGAAGACCTCACTGTGACTTTGAGATTAAGAATAGCAATAAAAGCGGTGTTAATTTGCTTTTTGTGTGTTTTGCTGTGTATGTACTGATTTTGTGTCATGGATGGATACTGCATATTCTTTGTTTTTCTATCATATACAACATGTAACTAATTGCCTGAACAAAGATAGCATAATTGTTTTTTCTCTTTGTATGATAGGACAAGATTTTGCTATCTGTAACTGTCATATTTTCCATTATAAATAAAAATATATAAAAAAGGAGATGTGGTATGATTGACAATGAAACAGCTATCCACAAACGTGGTGGATTGAAGCAATTATATGCAAGGGTATGGCTTTCAACAATGAGAAAACCCCATACCGGATAGTCGGCCATAAAAGGCCTCGACATGAGAGATGTGAAACAATTCAATTGTAGAAACTAACGGCCAAATTTATAACAAAACAATTAACGAAGAACAAATATGGCAGACATGAACCAACGACAACTACTGAACTACAAGCTCTTGATAGGCAAATAAAAAAATGTGACGGGGGTTAAACATGTTTGTGAGCTCTCAACCCTTCCCATAACAGGGGAGTGGTATTACAGAACAACACAAGAATAAACTGTAGAAATCAGATGCCATTGGCTTAACTCAAATGATCGATACGAGACACAAACACAACTAACATAAAAAAAAAGACACAAAGCATTGAAATACGAGTACTCGCGGTTACTGAAATTTAGTTCAAAGCCAATTACAACTAATAAATTAAACTTAAATAACGTAAGACTTATTGCTTTTTTTTCAGGCGATTAGAAAATAACCGTATAACATCAATTCACAAGAGATCTTTTGAGAGTTTAGTCAAATTGCGAATCCTGTAAGTATTGATTTCTATGGCTTTTTTAGATATTTAACTTGGAAGTAAAATGTTCAATGACCTCCCACAAATTCCACAAGAGGAGATACTAAAATACTTTATTTTCATATTCATTATTATTCGTTGTATACCAATTTGCGTGGATTTCTTGGGTTTAAATCAATCGCGATTTTAAATGTCCAACAAAGTACAAATTTGTTTAATGGTCTGTATGGAGACTTTGGCTAAACCACGAAATCAAATATCCAAGAAAACTAATTTTTTTCTCAAGCCACAAAAAATAGTATCCACGAAAATAAATAAATTCACAGTATGTGAAGAAATTTAAATGATATTTCAAATTCGAACAGTAGTGTTTCAATTACATTTTGAGTATTGTATTTCAGTTTCGCTATTTTCTTTATCAATCTTGTAGTGAAATTTAGCAACTAAAAGGCCTTACAAAATCAAATCACAAAAAATACTTTAAATTTTACAAGCGTGGGAATAAACAAATGGATAATTATGTGTATTTGTTATATCCTTTGATAAAACATAACAGAAGTATTCAAGTCATTTTAAAGATCACCTGGCCCAATTGTCCAAGTCAGATCTTAGTGTCCAGCTTATGGTGTCGTCGTAAATTATTCTTAATACCTCTAACACCACTGATTTGTTCCTAAGAGCATCTTGAGTGTATCCAGTGATTTGATTCATTAGCAAGCATGACCGCTATTGTTAAAAATAGAACGAGGTTAGCATATGTTTTTTTGGTTTAAATCTAGAAAGTTATAAGAGACGTACAAAAACATAACCTATGTTTTAGTATGCTGGAATTCTATATGATGCAGTTATTGGTCAAAATGACGATTTTTGCCATTTTTTGCGTTTTTTATATTGCTATTATCATGAAAGCTGTAATAGAAAGCTTTAAAAGTTTCTAAATCGCCCTATACTTCAATGCAATTTAACATCAGCAACTGAAGTTAACATTTGATGATAAGATATGTAAAATTATCTGATAAATTCGAATCGGGAGCCTATAGTTCCGTGATTGTTATTTGTTTGTATTTATCATATTTGTTTTTCGTAAATTGTTTTGTTATAAATTGGGCTCTTAGTTATCTTTTTTGAATTGTTTCACATTTATCATGTCGGGGCCTTTTATAGCCGTCTGAACGGTATGGGTTTATCTTATGGTTGAAGGCCTTCAATTGGTATCTAACACTGTATCTTAACTCTGGTTGATAATTGTCTGATTGGCAATCATACCACATCATGCACATCTTCTCATTTTTATATTGATATCAATATTTTGGTTTTCATTGAAATATCTTTAAAATTTGACAGGAATATGTTTCAGACATCATGAAATAAAGAAAACTAGATAGTTTTACCTACATACAGAAATATATCTGTTTAACAGCAATTTGTACATTTTCCCTTTGATCTTACTGCCTGATATTTTTAAAATAATGGACAGGACTTGATACTAAAAAATATTAGGCAATGACGTCATGTATCAGTGCAGGAACGTAACGTGCTCAAGTCCATCCGCGTCATTTTATCAATGAAATGCACGCGACTACATTTCTACAACCGAACAACTATCCCAACGTTTTGTACGCGTAAAAGTAGTTTTACAAACTATTTCATTTTTCTTTATATTCGTAAGGAAAAAAACATACAGATAAGACAAATTGCCGATAAAAAGAATAATGGCATTTAATTTTTTGATACTGACTTCATCAGCTTGAATATCAGCTCGCCCATGCGGGCTCGCTTGGTTATCTTGCTGATTCAGTCAGTATCAGAAACAAAAATACCATTATTCTATATATCCCAGATAAATAAAAGTCAGCAGGAAGTGGAACACTTTTGGTTGACTTTGGAATGCCGATTGTTTGTTTAAAAACACGTCCTCAAAATGTCACAAATACGTTGTCAATATAAACAGTTATTGAAACTTAAGTCGAGAGATTAACACGTTGATATAAACTATAGGGTTGTTAACGTTGTCTCATTGGCACATATCCTAAAATGTATTTTGTATATACTTTGAAGTATGTTTTTTTATTCTATTGATTTGAATTTCTTGTCACAAACCCTATTCAAAGTTTGAATTGCAAAGAAATATATATATATCATATTGAATACAATGTTTCAGGCGATTAGAAAACAACAAGTTAACGTCAATTGAAACACCTACGTTCCAGTATCTGATCAGTTTGGAGACTCTGTAAGTGTGTTTATCTTACCTCCTATACACTTCTAGGAATTGCATTGTTTAAAAGCAAACACGTGAAGATCATGTATATTTAATATTTAGTCAGTGGGCGTGTTTTATTTAAATACACGGTTAGTAGTGGTGTTACGTCCCTTTATACAAAGTACATAGCGTTGAAGAAAAATCTGAAACGTTTCGCCCAGACAAAAAAAAAGAAATTGATGATAAACGATTGCAAATAGATGCAGAAAACATATTAAAAGTAAACAAATTGTTATTGTTGGTATTTGTTTTTGTATAGACCAATGGAAATAGTTTCTTAATATTATAGACTTGAGCACTTGAATAGGTTAATTCGAATTATAGTCATTTCGTACCCTAACCATTTCGTACCCCCCATTTTGTACCCTAGAAAAAACCATTTCGTACCCTGACCATTTCGTACCTTGACCATTTCGTACCTCATGGGATATTAACATGTATACCATTTCGTACCTCATGGAAAATTTATATGTATACCATTTCGTACCTCATGGAAGTTTATATGTATGCCATTTCGTACCTCATGGAAGATTTATATGTATGCCATTTCGTACCTCATGGAAGATTTATGTTTTTGATTTCTTGGTTAAAACTGTCTCATTTATGTGTGCCATTTCTTACCTTATGGAAGATTTATATGTATACCATTTCGTACCTCGTGGAAGATTTGTATGTATGCCATTTCGTACTTAATGGAAGATTTGTATGTTAATAACTATAAAAACAATTGCAGATAATTATTCCTTTGTTGGTTAATTAACCTCATATTTATAGAGTTGAAAAATTCATTAAGGAGAAATTATCTAAACAGACAAAGTGTAATTAAACTATTAAAGTTTTCAAGTGCTGCTTAGTTAAAACAATCATGGGTATTTATAAAATTTCTACGGCTGGATTTTTTTTATGTTATATTTAAGAAAAATTAGACTCATCTCAAAATGTTTTATATCTTGACAAAAATGAGAATTTTTACAAATATATAATACGAAATAGTAAACATGTATTTAGTATATGAGGTACGAAATGGTAGATGCATTTGACCCATAGGGTACGAAATGGTAAATGTTGGGTACGAAATGGTAATTGTGGTTACGAAATGGCAGAGGTACGAAATGGTCAAGGTACGAAATGACTTGCTACCGTTAATTTAACATATTAAGATAGTCGGTAAGAAACATTCGTTACACAGTGTGCTAGTGACCTAATACGATATAATCGTTAGGTCATTAGCACTCTATGTAATTAATAATGTCAAAGGGAATATCATTAAAAATGAAAACAACACGTTATAAATTGTATGCGTCCGAAGCGCTTTTCTGGATTCACCTTCATCAGGAACGCTCATAGCCAAATATTTGAAAGCCAAAGATGTACAAGAACCGAAACAGTTGAAGAGATATATTACGAAAAAGGACCTAAAAAAAATTAGCCAAATCCATCTTAGATCAACTTTGCCTGAGGGAGTTGAAACCTTAGTTTCTAATAATTTCGAAATTTATTAACAGACAACATATACCTTGATTTTAATTCTATCAAATAACGTCTTGGTTGTATTTGACGACAACAATTGTGGTGTGTTCCAAAAATTGAATTAAACTTGTGTTCTCCTCCTTAAACTATAACTAAAGTATAAAGACATTCCAATCCTTTTTCATTACTACAATTAATAGTATTGAAAAAACGAAAAAAGATAAAGTTTTTGATAGTCCAAATGACATCATCAATCAGGTATCTGCATTATATAAACTGACATAAAATACATAGAATCTGATATAAAAAAAAATATAAAGATATGTGCAGAGCTTCTCAAAATTAGAAATAAGGAGATGTGGTATGATTGACAATGAGACAGCTATCAACCAAAGTTCAAATGAAGTGGATGTAAGCAATTATAGACAACCGTACAGCCTTCAAAAATGAGAAAAACCCATAGAGTATAGTCAGCTACAAAAGGCCCCGACATTACAAATATGAAACTATTCAATTTAGAAAACTAATGGCCTAATTTATAACAAAATAATTTACAAAAAAAACAAATATGATAGACATGAACCAACGTCAACCACTGAACTACAGGTATTAACTTACTTATGAAAATTCCAAGACATACCACCTACAATAGTCAATTGAAGTTAAGCTGTTTGCGAGAACAGTCAATCAGAATTCAGCAGACAACTGATAACGGTTCTTTAAAAAAAGGTTAAGGTCAATGTTCATAGAGTTCTAGTACTGGATACTCAGCCAACTACTGTAAGTCGAGTAATTTGTCATAACTGCAAAGAAAAGTGCAATGGAGATGTTTTAAGATGAAAAAAAAATCAAAAAAAAGGTTTATGACTTCGGACAAGCGCATACAGAATGTGGCGAGGTTAAACATGTTAAAGAAACGTTTGAAAATCAAATTTCTTAAAACTTTCGTCTCGTCTTTTTTTAGAAGAGGCGGAATATATTGTTTAGGAATAGACAAATAGTACACAAAACACAAAATACAAAACTAAACACGTACCCCACAAAAACCGGGGGTGATCTCAGGTGATCTCAGGTGCTGCGGAAGGGTAAGCAGATCCTGCTCCACATGAGACACTCGTCGTGTTGCTCATGTAAGTACAAACCCGGTGATAAATCTAATTCGGTGAGTCACATTCGAGGAAAAGAGGACGGGATTGTGGTTTCGACAATTGGAACATGTCCGTCATCATTTGTGGAACAGATATTCTATAACTGTCAACCAACTTTTGATGGCGTCCGTAAAAGTTTCGAAGGGATGATTTCAACTTCACCACTTGGAACTCTATGTTTAATAGCTTCCTTGTAAGCAGACAAAAGTAAAATAACAAAAATACCGAACTCCAAGAAAAATTCAAAAAGGGAAATTCTCTATCAATTGACGAAAATCAAAAGCTCAAACACATCAAACAAATGGAAAACAACTGTCATATTCCTGATTTGGTGTATAAAATATTGATATGTTTGGTGAGTGCATTAAAGACCTTTACTAAAAGAGGGGCGAAAGATACCAGAGGGACAGTCAAACTCACAGATCGAAAACAAACTGACAGCGCCATGGCCAAAAATAAAAAGACGAACAGACAAATGATAGTACAGATGACACAACATAGAAAACTAAAGACTGAGCAACACGAACCCCACCAAAAACTGGGGGTGATCTCAGGTGCTCCGGAAGGGTAAGCAGATCCTGCTCCACATGTGGCACCCATCGTTTTGCTCATGTTAGTACAAACCCGGCAATAAGTCTAATTTGGTAGGTCACATTCGGGAAAAGAAAAATACTAAGAGTTTAAGTACAATGTCACTTGTCAACATACCGCATAGAGTGTGTGTTACCGTGTGTTATAAATGTATGTCACTGTGCACGGTCTCTAAAGCATTTATAGAATATTATTGAAATACAAACTGCTTTTTTGTTTCCTATTGATTCAACTGTAATGTGACCAGCGTTGTTGCTTAAATTTGTATATTTCCAGGTACTTTTTCGACAATAACTTGGCGACAATAGATGAAACTGCATTCTCAAATATGGAAAAATTAGAAATATTGTATGTATTGAAATATGCTACTATTTTTAGTTATTGTGTATTAATTTTGAATGGTTCAATGTATTGATATATACAGTATATGTGTATAACCCTTTAACTTTCCTGGATAAATGAAGTCTGAGAAATAGGAAATTGGTTGGTGAAAATTATCAAATCTATTATGGGAAAATTGAGTGTTTGTTAAAAAATCACAAATTTTGAAAAACATCTTTTTTTTTACTTGGATTTTATGGAAAATTGAAATATATGTTAGATACCTATTCCAATTATGGAGTTCGGAATTTTTGTTATACTTTTTACTGAATATGTACTAATTTGCCTTTGTATTTTAAGGATGTTCGCTACTCTTTCGTTTGACCTTTTTTGTCAGATATTCGGAATCTTCTAGTTTTATCCAAGTACTGCCAATAAAAAAAATCTCCCGCTAATCCCTACTTTTCTGTTAATAATTTTAATACATGTAGTTTGACTAGCCATTTATGAAAATTTTATAAAATCCTTGTTATTTTTTTCATAGTTTTTGAAAGACAAAAGGTGCCAATGTTAAATGTATGAAAAATCTAGAGAGAATCATTTCCCGCCAATTGATTATATCTCGAAAACAAGGTCACGGACCTATCATTATTTTTTTTGCTGTTTAATTTCTGTTATTCATATACTATCAATTTATAACAGTCATTTGAAAAGCTTGTTATTTTTAAACAGAGGAGCGAACATCCTTAAGAATATTGCCAAGACTTACAACTCCATTACATTATTTAATTTGTTGACCATTTAAGGTGGTACCCAACACCTTGACTAATATTAATTTGGCTCGTTTAATTTTCATAAAATTTTGACAAAATGTTTACTTTGACCCTTTGACAAAAATATAAAAATTTCAAAAAATTTGAACCAACCACTTTATCAGAAAAATTTCGTTGGTTATATAGCAGTTTGACAAACACTAATTTTGATCCTTGAGAAGCTTAATATTTCCTTAACAATACAACGTAATTAAAACGTTTAGCTGATTTTTACAGAGTTATCTCCCTGTAGTGTTAGGTACCACCTTAAATACCATTTTTACTGAATTTATCTTAACCTTTCTTGCTGAACACTTCAATTTAGGATTAGGAAGGGGTAATGTTCTAATTAAACTATCTAGATTAAGTATGAATACTAATACTATATTTTAGACGTTTAACTGGAAATGAGTTGGTGACTTTAGGAGAACAAACCTTTCTGCCTCTGCAATCACTACGAAATTTGTAAGCTTAAAGTAGTCACACCTATTTCAAATTATATATATTTATATGTTCCTTTGACTTCACAATAAATTGTCCATATACTGTAAACCAACTAATTTTCGCGAGCGGTTTAAAAACGCGAAAAAATATCGTCGCGAATATGTAACTCTTATTTAAATACATCAACTGATTTTGAAAATCGGGAAATTAAATCGCCGCGAACTGGGTTAGAAAAGGCGGACCGCGAAATAAAGTATCCGCAAAAATCAGTTACTTTACAGTATTTGGATCCTCTTAAAAAGTTATTTATAAGTATGGACAAAGACATACCCGTGTCAAGGTCACCTCTTCTACACAATAAAATTCACTGCTTATGTCCCGACCTGGGACACTGTCAAAGGACATTCGTAAAAAGAATTTCAAAACTAAACAAAAAAGAATGAAATATTTCAGTCTTAATTCAAAACATTAAAACAACACTTTATAAATTTCAGGCGTCCGAAGCGCTTTTCTGGATTTATCTCCATCAGGAACGCCCAAAGCCGAAGTTTTGATAATTGACAGGCATACATACTACACTCCTGGGTAGTAAAGGAATTCGAGAGATCTGTTGCTTCACTCTTTCACACAAACATTGTGTGTTACAAAAGGACATTGTTTACATAAACGTAGGAAATAAAATGATAAAATACCAATTATAAAATAGTGTCACAAACAAACATTTGAAAATTAAAAAAAAATAGAAAATATTGGTATTCATACAACATGACCTTTCTTTGTTCAAAGCTTTAATTAAGTTATTTTCTTCAGGCAGTTACATTCCAATCAACTGACGAATTTGGGCGGCAACACTTTCCAATCTCTGACTAAACTAGAGGTTCTGTACGTATTTGTATATTACATTCTTACATTTATATTTCTAATAACAGACTCGTTTGTTTTTCGATATGTAATAATACCAAAATTGTAAACAAAAAATATATTCTTATATTTTCTTGATTATGTGTGTTAAAATAGAAGGTTTAAATGATATGACGAACGATATATGCATAACAGTCATACCCTACAGTGATTAATATCTTCAAGATCTACGTCCCTCTGGACAATTGCGGATAGTTGAGCGAGATTGCTCTATACGCAGCCGCTCGTGGAATCATAACAATGTTAAGTTCACACGTGAATCACTAAAAACCAAGGATGATTTCAGGTTACTCCACATTAGATTTATTGCCCTTTTATGATTATTTTTATTATTTTTACTGTTTTGTTTTTTAATGTCATCTTGGAAACAGCAATTGATAGTGAGAAACTGTAAACGGTACAATTGATTAACCGATTAGGAAAAAGGAGATTTAGAAATCTTTTATATTTTTGATATTGTGGTGATTTTTAAAAGGAGTGCCATTTGAATTAAAGAGGGGAAGGAGTATGGGGCTTAGAAAATGGTCCAAGTAGTTTTGTTTGTAATTAACTGATGTGATCCGGGTACTGAAATAGGAATAATTCACTTCCTTTGATTCAGCTTGAATGCCCTTAAACATCTGCAAATATAAAATAACATATAAAAAAACGCCCTATCTTCGCAAAGTAAACTATTCAGGTTTTTAGGAGCCTCTTGTTTTGATGTGTATCTTTTTGTCAGAAACGAGAATAAAAATGTAGTTAGTAGTCTGCAGCACTATATTTTCGACTGGAAATGAGTCGAGTTATTTTTTGTAGTGTTATTCTATATATGTAAGCATAACATTCTTGTTAGCTTAGATATGACCGAATGTAATATTTTGCTTGATGTAGTCGTTTTGCTCACACATTGTTGTCAATACAATGGAATTCTATGCGACTGTTATACAAGTGAGAGGTTTAGTTAGCTATAAAACCAGGTTTAATCCATCATTTTCTACATAAGGAAATGCCTGTACCAAGTCAGGAATATAATAGTTGTTTTCCATTCGTTTGATGTGTTTGAGCTTTTGATTTGGCCATTTTTTAAGGGACTTTCCGTTTGAAATTTTCCTTGGAGTTCTGTATTTTTGTTATTTTACTTTTTGCTTGAGGTATTGATTTTGTGATTTTGATTTTCAGGACATTATACAATAACCTATTGATATGTAACTGTAATCTTCATCCATTTGTGAAGTGGTTGAATCAGACAAAAAGTAAAGTAATTGGTGCTGTCTGTAATGGAACAACAATTAGCGTCATGGATTTTCCGTACAGCAAATGTTATGGTATGTTTAACCCGATAAACATCTCCAAATAATACTTTTTTTTCTGCTGACAACTTGTCAATTCTATAGATAGGTTGCGAATGCCGTAATTTGAGTTAGAGTTATTTCCCTTGACAGCCATAATGGCGGAATAAACGGTTGATTTTCTGATTTGACTAACCAAATTGAAACATGCGATACATATAAACCTGATAAGAGATCCTTACTAGATCGTAGCGATGAATTAGGGCTAAAAGAGAAAAAATGTACAGAAAAAACTTTTTTCTAAAGTTTAGCGGTCAGTATAACAACTTGAATTAGACTAATTTGTGAAGGAACTTGCGCAATAAGTCCTCCAACATGGTGACAAAAGGGAAGTAACTTGCTCAAATTATGTCAATCGAAACATATCTTTTTCTTTTTATGATAAAGAATATTTCTTGATTACATGGTAGTTTTACTTGTTAAATGCACGTCTGATCAGATGAAAAGAAATAACAAACTACATATGATAACACATTTTCTTTTAGTACAACGGATGACAGATTTTAGCAAAAGATCATTTATATATCAGTTTATTTAGAAGACTGACATGTTGTAAGCTGTATTTATACTGCAGGCACAATTTATTAAGATTGTAGTACATTCAGGTAGTTCTCAATTATTATACCCCCTCTTTAAAAAAGTGGGGGTATAATTTTTTTATATATTGATAGTTGTAAAAAGTTTTAATTTATCCTTACATTGAAAAATACTCCTATATTAAAAACTTGCACATAGTTTGCGAAGAAGAACAACACAATTTATCATTTTACACGTACTGTTTCAGTCATAAATTGGTCGACAATTAATATCTCTTCCATCATTAGTGACATTTTATTTTAGGGATAAAACATTTCAATTATGTCCATCTTGTATTATTCATGTTATTACTATATTTTTGTCATGATCCTGGCTTTGACATTTAATACTGGATATAAAATGGTTATAAAATGTAATATGATGGTTGTTGCAGGACATGCTTATACATTACTGTAAGCCAACTTATTTTCGCGGATACTTTATTTCGCGTTTAGCTCTTACCAGTCCAGTTCGCGGCGATTTAATTTCGCGATTTTCAAATTTGATTGATGTAGTTAAATAAGGAAAAATCCAAGTTTTACATATTCGCGACGATTTATATTCTCGTTATTTTTCTACTCGCGAAAGTCGAGAAAATAAATCGCTCGCGAAAACTTGTTGGTTTACAGTATTCTTAGACTTGAAATAACTCCGTCTGAAAGTCCTGTGATTTTATTATATTAAACTCCAATTGTACTGTTCATGCCTATTTTTATTAAATGTTTACTGTATATAGTATGCTAACATAATGTTGGGTTTTTTTTTTCAGATGAAGGGGTTAACGCTACAGAGATAACCAACATTTTTCAATCTTCTGGTATGTAGAAAACCTTTGATTTGCTGGAAATACAGTTATCTAACTTTGATCACCCCTAGTTTTTGACGGGGTTCGTGTTGCTCAGTCTTTGGTTGTGTTTTGTGTACTTTTGTTTGTTTGTCTTTTTTTTTAGCCATAGCGTTGTCAGTTTGTTTTCGACTTATGAGCTTGAATGTCCCTTTGGTATCCTTCGCCTCTCTTTTGAATATATATAAATAATTATTTATAATATACTGACGAACTTTAAAAACGCAACACTAGATTATTCTGATTAATTTTAATTTTCAAATATGCAATTCTCGTAAAATAAATGTATTAATATAAATTTCTTTCATGACTTCATTACCTTAAAAAAAGTTGCAGTTCAAAAGTCAAATTAATTACGTCATGTTTAATATTCAATCATGCGGTATGCACTGAGACCTGATTTCCCCCTTAACAAAGGATGTGTCATCGTCAAATGCAATGACTGCCTGTAACCAACGTCTAAATGATTGACATAAAAGTCAACCAGTTCATGTTTTGAGTTCTGTTTTTTTTCCTTCTGATTTGTCCGCTGTGCCACCCATTACAGTGTGTTTTGGCAATTATGAGGTTTAAACTTAAGAGCTTGAAATTTTTTTCTGCAGTCGATTTTGCGGCGTTTCAGTATATTGGAAACATTAACGGCGTAAATCTGTCTGACATAGCATTCGACGACTTGATTTGAAGTTGAAGTTGCGGCCGTGTCTCGAAAAGTACATTGCGGGATCAAATTTTATTGACGTGGGGTTATCACTACATATTGATTTGGTCATGAGTGGTCATCAACAAATCCTGTTTGCCTATACCGTTGGTGTAAAGACAGTAAGATGCTTTTCATTGCTCATTCTCGGCAATATGGATATGAACATGTATTTACTGATAAACTGTGGGTATGGATTGAAAAAATTGTTTCCGGAAGAAAAAAACCTTACAAAAGTCATTAATGGGTTTCAAATATCGCTTTAAAAAATTAATGAGACTTCCATAATCTGGTATGTTCAATTACCTCAGGTAGGTCAGATATTATATTTTTCTAAGCAGAAAGAAATATTGTAAGCATGATTTGTAGTTATATGAGGATCATTCATGATTTGGTGAAAACAATATCATGAAAATGTGTGTCCTTTAAGGTCCTTCAGTATATTAACCCATAGAAATTTCCTAGATGTTTCTGGACTCGCTTTTCATATGAATAAGTGTAAAAGAAAATGATTATGACGACTTATTTGTATCACTCTTTCTTTTTATATTACAAAGGAATATAAGACGGCTTTATTAGAGTATGTACAGACAAATGGTATTTAGCAGACGAACTTGATTGCCAACTGTCAGCTTTTGGAAGTAAACCGATTCAATCACATGCATTGATATCGCCATCAATATTTGGCAACAGGAACTTATTTTTCCTTTGTTTGATTTCAAATATTAGCTGTTCAAAGTAGATGAATCATTGGTAAACATCCTCAACAAAATATGACATTTCAATTTTAGGAGCTAAACACAATAAACAGTTCACGTTTAATTTCTAAACGTCATTCTTACTGTCTAGTATGGGAGTAGTTCTCTCTATGATCATTTCCTATGTTATCTATATTAAAGACGATGGTACTATAGGAATATTTTTACTCTCTGTGATCATTTCCGGATGTGCTTTAACCTATGTTATCCAGCTTGTAAGTTGTTGTACTATAGGAGTCGTTTTACTCTCTATGATCATGTCTGAATGTGCTTAAACTTATGGTATCTTTCTTATAGGTGATGGTTATATAGGAATAGTATAATCTCTATGATCATATCTAGATGTGTTTTAATTTATGTAATCTATCTTGTAGATTATAGTAGTATAGGAATAGTATTACTCTCTGTGATCATGTCTGGATGTGTTTCAACCTATGTTATCCAGCTTGTAAATGATGGTAGTATAGGAATAGTTTTACTCTCTATGATCATATCGGGATGTGTTTTAACCTATGTTATCTATCTTGTTGGTGATGGTACTATAGGAATAGTTTTACTCTCTATGATCATATCCAGATGTGTTTTAATTTATGTAATCTATCTTGTAGATTATAGTTGTATAGGAATAGTTTTACTCTCTTTGATTATGTCTGAATGTGCATTACACCTATGGTATCTATCTTATAGGTGATGATAGTACAGAAGTAATTTTACTCTCTGTGATCATGTCTGGATGTGTTTTAATGTATGGTATTTTTCTTATAAGTGATGGTTATATAGGAATAGTTGTACTCTCTATGATTATGTCTGGGTGTGTTTTAACATATGTTATCTATCTTGTAGACGATTGTAGTATAGTTTTACTGTCCGTGATCATGGCTGGATGTGTATTGTTTATAGTAGCAGTGTGTTTGTGTATCAAGTGCAGAACAAGCCATGATAGTTATATAGGAATAGTTGTACTCTCTATGATCATGTCTGGATGTGTTTTAACATATGTTATCTATCTTGTAGTTGATGGTACTAAAGGAATAGTTTTACTCTCTATGATCATGTCTGGGTGTGTTTTAACATATGTTATCTATCTTGTAGTTGATGGTTGTATAGGAATAGTTTTACTCTCTGTGATCATGGCTGGGTGTGTTTTAACATATGTTATCTATCTTGTAGTTGATGGTAGTATAGGAATAATTTTACTCTCTATGATCATGTCTGGGTGTGTTTTAACATATGTTATCCATCTTGTAGATTATGGTAGTATAGGAATAGTTTTACTTTCTATGATCATGTCTGGGTGTGTTTTAACATATGTTATCTATCTTGTAGTCGATTGTAGTATATGAATAGTTTTACTGTCCGTGATCATGGCTGGATGTGTATATTGTTTATAGTAGCAGTTTGTTTGTGTATCAAGTGCAGAACAAGCCGTGATGGTTATATAGGAATAATTGTACTCTCTATGATCATGCCTGGATGTGTTTTAACCTATTGTATCTTTCTTATAGGTGATGGTTATATAGGAATAATTTAATCTCTATAATCATGTCTGGGTGTGTTTTAACATATGTTATCTATCTTGTAGATGATGGTAATATAGGAGTAGTTTTACTGTCCGTGATCATGGCTGGATGTGTATTGTTTATAGTAGCAGTTTGTTTGTGTATCAAGTGCAGAACAAGCCGTGAGTTGTTTTTTTTTTAACATAGAATAATTTGGTGCAAATGTGGTGCTACTATTATTTATGTGGTAATGTAGTTGAACATTTTAGACCACTCGGCCACTACGTCATTATGAAGTTATACTGTTAATTGTTTCAATTTCAAATATCCTGCCCCCAAGGGTGACTGGGGAATAGAAGTATGGTCACCATTGGTCTTCCTCCGACCGGCAGTAAAACCCTTGCTAAAGTGGGGCGTCCGTTTGGCTGTGCGGGATGTACAAATTTGCAGCCACGTCCGGTCAGAATGGGGACGTTAAATCCGATGCCTCGTGTAAAGAGAGTGCCACGCTCTTTGCACGTTAAGAACCCTTGCAACAACTCTTTGAGGGGTCCGTAGGTGACCTGTTGCAAGGCTAAATTTCTGTCCCTATCCAATATACCCTCATTTCCCGTGGCAGTCTAAATTTCTTCGACCTTAATCCCGGACGCCCCTATTACAGAACCTACCTATTGTATTTATTGTTAATTTGTTCTCGTTCTGAATATGCATGAAATATTTGCCACTGGACGTTAAGCAACCAACAATCAATCAATCAAATATCCCAGAATATTTGAATCAATTTGTATCCAGGAAGTAAAAGTTAGCAATTATTCTTTGGGTCATTTGGAAAGATTTCTTTTTCATACACAAACGAGGTACACATGTGTTCCTAGCGCGGTATGTTGACAACGGAGACATATATAGCACTAGAGCGGTAAAAAGTTTAAATGAAATGCAAACACTTGTCTTGTTTCAAGTTTGGATTCCAAACTTGTACCTATGATAATCTAATCAATTTCAATATTGATAACTAGTATGCTTTAATCATTTTTAATATCAAAATCTAGTAATTTAGGATGTTCGCTACTCTTGTTCTCGACTTCAAATTCGATTTCAGACATTCTGAATCCTCTAGTTTTATCCATGGAATTCCAATAAAAGTTTTGCCCGCTAACTCATACTTTTCTTTGCCTAATTTTATTACATATAGTTTAAATAGTCATTTTTGAAAATCTTATAAAATCCGTTATTTTTTCATAGTATTTGAAAGAAAAAATGTGCCAATGTTAAATGTATGAAAAATCTAGAGAGACTCATTTCCCGCCAAATTTTCAATTGATTATTTCTTAAAACTAAGGACATAGACCTTTCATTTTTTTTCTGCTTATAAGTTCCGTTACTAGTATTTATATACTCTCCATTTATAACAGTCTTTTAAAAAGATTGTTATTTTGAATAAAGGCAACAGTTGTATACCGCTGTTTAATATGCATAATTCGATTAAGCAATAACAAATCCGGGTAACAAACTAAAACCGAGGGAAACACATCAACTATAAGAGGAAAACAACGGAACAAGAGAAACACTGAACTACAACAAAAGCAAACGCCAACATACATAGAAACGGACTGTCTGATAACAACTGCCATATTCCTGACTTGGTACAGGACATTTCAAGAAAAAATGGTGGGTTGAACCTGGTGGGTTAAAACCGAGGAGCGAACATCCTTTGGAAACAGAGATGAAAAATCAAAGTTTCGCTCGCCTGCATTCTTTTTCGATAATAGGAGGCCGAAGAGCTAGACATTTATTTGATATGGCCTAAGGATGATAACTATTAATTATAATAAATTGACAATTTTGTAATCTAAAATATTTGTAGATCTCTCAAAAGATTTTTTTATGGCGGAGCTTTTTATAGCTATATATACAATATACTCATAATTGCTCATTGTTGAAGGGGTTACGATAACTTGTTATTGCTTACATCCTTATCATTTGATCTTTGATAGGAAGTTGTCTCATTGTCAATCATATCACTGGAATGAAATGTCCCTCTATCACGTAACCGTTAAAGCCAAAAATATGCGTGACACTCATAAAACAATAGCTATAGCTATAGTTTTCACAATTGCTTTTCTTTTATTTAAATTTAGGTAAGGATATGTTCGACCATAGCGAGTTAACAACTTCCAAAAGCTTGCCAGAAAATGACAGGAGCCTAAGTCGTACTCGTAAGTAATGAAAGTTTATGACTTTTTATATGACAGGTTTTGTTTATATCAATTATAGTGGTGAATATTTATCAAGCCGTAGGCGGATCCAGGGGGGGGGGGGGCCTGGGGCCCCCCCTTTCGTGGTTGATTATATAGGGAATCACTGAAGCATGACTGGAGCGCCCCCCCCCCCCCCCCTTTAGGTCAGTCAGCGGGCCCCTCCTTATGATAAGTTCTGGATCCGCCACTGCCGGAAGCGCCCTACATGAAAAAATAAGAAATACTCTTAGGCGCTGTACATGCAGCAGGTTAATCAAAACAAATCAAAGAGAAAAATACAAAACATACACTATATCATATGCAAATACTGAAATAAAAATACAACAAAAATGCCTACCCTAAAAAAGGTCAATCTGGAAATACATACTGAAACCAAATAAAAGAATTTAACAATCTTGTCTAAAAATCATGCGAAACAGGCAAAAACCCTAAAAAGGAATGCAAAATGCTGCATAAAAAGTAGATACAAAACAAGTAAAAACCGTAAAAGAAAAAAGAAAAATCTTATTAAAAAGCGATGCGATAAAAATAAGTTTTAAAAGAGAGGCGAAAGATATCAAAGGGACATTCAATCTCATAAGTCGAAAATAATCTGACAACGCCATGGCTAAAAAACAAAAATACCAACAGACAAACAACAGTACACAACACACAACATAGAAAACTAATGGTTGCACTTCTGTAAATATAGACAATGCAATTTCCCATAGGAACTCCTTTTACTGCTAAAACTGTGCCACTTTACCGTGAATTTCGTAAAAAATTATATACTAGAATGAAAAGTTCATATTCACTATTATTTTTTCAAAGGTCAAAACAGGGCTGTGCGGCATATTTTCAACATTTATGTGCCCGTACTTCTAAGAGTTTAAAACTTATACTAAAATTCTGTACTTACCTTCCCTTCACTTTGGGTCTTCCTCAGAATTCAATTTGGCTGCTATCCATGTGTATGTGTACTGGTAACATTCCCAATTTATGTCTCTATGAGATGCAACATAGAGATCATATCTGGGAACGAGTAGGTAAACAAAACAAAATATCTATGAATATTATCTCCCCAAAAGAGGCGTGGTTTGTGAAACAGCTATATTTGCAACCTAAAGATTGATCAACACGAACCCTACCAAAAACGGTGGTGATCTCTGGTGCTCGGGAATGGTAATCAGATCCTGCTCCACATTTGGCACCCGTCGTGTGGTTCATGTTAGTACAAACCCGGTGATAAGTCTAGTTCGGTAGGTCACATTCGGGGAAAAGGGACGGGATTGTAGTTACAATAATTGGAACATTTTTGTTGTCATCTATGAAACAGATATTCCATAACGGTCAACCAACTTGTAATGGCATCCGTAAAATTTACGAAGGGATGATTTCAACTTCACTACTTGGAGCTCTTCGTTTAATAGCTTCCTTGTGAGCAGCAACCCTCTATAACTTTTTTCATGATAGGAAAAACAAGCCCTGTAATATCGTTTAACTGGGAGATATATACTCCGTATGCAAGTGCTTCTGGAATGTTGCTACATAGAAATAGAAAGTTCACTATTGGGAAGCTGAAATCATTTCTTTTGTCTATAAAGGTTTGTTCTCAACCGACCCTCATTGTCAATTTCTAGATGTTAGTAAAGATATGAGTCAGACTTAACTGTATTCTGTTGTATCCTTTATCTCCAGTTCGATGGGATGGATGCGTTCAACATAGTCACCAAACTTTGAATTATTTAGAGAGAGAACATCATCTTTATAGCGAAAAGTTAAAGGATACTGCTAACTTCTTTTCTTTCTGCCTAAGAAGCTCACGTAAGACGTCAGCCTCATATCAATAAAGGAACAAGTCGGTAAGAAGAGAAGCACACTTGGTTCCCATGTGAATGCCGATTATTTGTTGAAAAACACGTCCTCCAAACTTTACAAATATGTTGTCAATCAAGATTTACACCTCCCTAAGAGGACATACTTGTATCTACGTTGGTCATTCTTTTATGAAACAAAGCAGGACCAACTTTTTCAATTTGTCTTTTAGTTTGGAATGGGGAATATACTTGTGTAAAGTGTAGAATAGTTAAATGTTTTAATACAATTGCAAGATGAGAGAGTCTTAGATTGTATATACTCTAAAAGATCTTTTGAATTTTTTAGTATCCACATCTGATTCAAGTTTAACGCTTTTGTACCTCCCATAAACCATTCAATATAAAGAGCAAACGGATATTTTATATATATATGTCAAACATAATGGTATTCAATACATTCCCCGACGATAACTTTTTCTCAATCACCATGATCAGGCTCATGTACAACATGATCTTTTGGTGATTGTATATTATCGTCAATCAAAATACTGTTACTTGGTTGCTAACAAGCTTTCTAAAAACATTCAAAGTTCATCCGTGAGGTCAAACGAAAAAGAAAAACAATACCTGTCTTTGTCTTCAATTATAAGGATTCCGTAAATGTATGTTTACCACAGAATTCAATTTATTCGATGATATGGATCATTTTCTCTGTACTTGTATCCTTCCTCATTATTTTACCACTTTTTTAAAGACGAGATGAATTATGAATATCTGCCAATTTTACGAAGATTGTTATATTATTTAATTGTTTAATTTCAGTTCATATGATAACTGTTCTGAAATATTCTACATGTTCAGTGAACGGTAAAAAACTTGGTTCAAAACTTTGTATATATTTTTTAAAGTTCACACCATAATGAACATGCGCACCAAGTTTCAAGTTGATGTTTTGACAGGTTCATGATTGAATCAAATGTTTACCTGTCACGTGAAAGACCCAAAACATCATATCACTTTCGCAGTAGATTTAACAAAAAAGGACCTAATAAAAAGTAAAATAACAAAAATATCGAACTCCAAGGAAAATTCAAAACGGAAAGTCCCTTATCAAATGGCATAATCAAAAGCTCTACCACATCAAACGAATGGAAAACAACTGTCATATTCCTGATTTGGTACAGGTATTTCCTTATGTAGAAAATGGTGGACCTAATAACACATTTCGAATATGGTAATGTCAATTTCTTCAAAATGTGTTTCTTACCAAAAAAGTTTTAAACAAAAATACCGATCTCCATGGCAAATTCAAAAATGGGAGAAGTCCATAAAAATTGATCAAATCAAACGCTATCAATCAACGGAACAAGTAAAAAACAACTGCAATATGCCTGACTTGTATGCAGTTTCCGAAGAAAATGGTACAAAATACATGTTGTTATTATCGTGCAAACGGCTTATGTTCTGGAATAACCTACATAAGATACATGTACGTAAGAAATTAAAAAATTCGAAAAAACAGCATTATTAGAACCTTAGCTTTTGTACAACAATTTCCATTAATAAAAAAAAAGATAAATCGACAAAGCCCCATCGAAACAACATCTGATACAAATCTTCTTTGATAACACTTTTAGATATTTGGATGATATATTGGCTCTCAATAATGACGACTTCAGTATGTACACTAAAGAGATTTATTCAGAAGGGATATACCTAGTATCGTAGGCTACGATACTGTTTTCAGGTCATTAAAGATGGCATTTTTTGGAATTAATATTGATTCACTCATAGGGTCTTTGATCGGAAATAAACACATTCATTCTAAAACCAGTTATTGGCATGATACGGGTTATGTTCTTCTCATACAGTTTATGATGGTATGATACTAAACCTCTAACAGGAGGGATTGTGCTTGATTTTCATATGATGAGGACATAATCTTTCAATCTGTTTAATTGAGTTCTGGAGCTGGCATGTCAGTAACTGCTAGTAGTCCTTTGTTAATTTATGTTATTATTGTCATTTTGCTTAGTTTCTTCTGTTACCTATTTTAACATCAGGACTCGGAATTCCTTTAAACCGAGTTTTACTGTGCGTATTGCTATGTGTTTGTTTATTCTACATTGGCTAGAGGTATAGGAGGAGGGTTGAGATCTCACAAAACATGTTTAACTCCGCCGCATTTTTGCGCCTGTCCCAAGCCAGGAACATCTGGCCTTTGTTAGTCTTGTATGTTTTTTTTTATTTTGGTTCCTCTATATGATTCGGAGTTTAGTGTGACGTCCATTTTCTCTGAACTAGTACACATTTTTGTTTAGGGGCCAGCTGAAGCATGCCTCTAGGTGCGGGATTTTCTCGCTGTATTGAAGACCCATTGGTGGCCTTGGGCTGTTTTCTGCTCTTTGGTCGGATAGTTGTCTCTTTGACACTTTCCCCGTTTCCATACTCAATTTCAAATAGATTTTATACAACTATTTCTGTTACTGCTGTTAAATATTCTTTCATGTTATGAATTAAAATTGTTAAATTGTCTGAGATTATATTAAATAAAGTGCCTATTGCGAATGTTACCATGTGTGAAGTTATATTAAGATCCATATATATACTTGTATGAATAAAGTGACCTTGACTTCAATTAACTTTATTTTAATTGCAGAGTCAAAATCAGTACCAGATGGATAATACGGAAAGCTGAATAAGTTGACAAACAAAAAGAATTAAATGTCTTGTAATATAATTGTTTTGCCATTCAAGAAATAAAGTGCTGTTTTATCTGCAGTTTAATATACTTTTTCTTTAAAGAAAGAAATAGTGAATAAACAAGTTGTTTCCTTTAGTATCAATCTTTTTGAAAAGACCAATTCTTTGTAATCACCAAAATGTTATATCAATATTTCCAGGGAAAGTAGAATGATATGAAACAACTTCATACACTGAGCAAAAAATATTGTTTCACGTTACCAATTCATTTTCTCGTTTCCATGGAAACAGTGATAAGATATATACCCTTTTTGAAATGTTCAATGTTTTCTTCATTTCTTTCATAAAAGTAATTTTGTTTGATTTATTTTTGCTATTTAATTTAATGAACAGGTATGATACATTATCGAAAAAAAACGAAAAATGGCCATAAGCCACACTTGTATCATTCTTATGGGAAATTTGTCAAGTCATTGTAGCCTTTAACACTATGGTTAATATTCCACCATAAGTTCCTTTCTTACTTCCTTGTTTCTAGTGTGGCAAATGATCCGCTGAGGCCTTTACATCCTTTGCCTCACTAGAAACAAGGGTTAAGCTACGCAACTATACTTGTGCTTATGACGTCATTAAATGACTTTACAACAAAGATGAAGTTCTTAAGTGGGATTGATTTTTTTTTTACCTCATTTTCTCACATAAGTTGCAACTAAAAGGTACAATTGTCATTTACAAGCTGTTATAAAAATAAGAAGTGGTATGATTGCCAATGAGACAAATCTCTAACAGAGACCAAATAAACTCACCATAGATACCAGGATTATAATCTTGTACGCCAGACGCGGGTTTCGTCTACAAAAGACTCATCAGTGAAGCTCGAATCAAAAAAGTTAAAAAGGCAAAAATAAAGTACGAAGTTGACAAGCACTGAGGACCCCAAATTCCGAAAGGTTTTGCCAAATACAGCTAAGCTTAAGGTAATTTATTCCTGGGGTAGAAAATCCTTAGTATTTCGAAAAATTCAAAGTTATAATTTATAATTATGCCCATATGAATGATGATTCATAGAAGTGCTGACTGCTGGGCTATTGTTACCCTCGGGGAGGAAACCTTCACCAGCAGTGGCAACGACCCAGTGGTGGTATATAAACTCATCATAGATACCAGGATATATATTTTGTGCGCCAGACCTGCGTTTCGTCTACAAAAGACTCATCAGTGGCGCTCAAATAAAAAAAAGTTTAAAAGGCCATATGAAGCACGAAGTTGAAATGACGTAGGAGTAAGCAACTATATATGTCACCGTACGGCCTTCAATAATGAGCAAAACCTATACCACACAACAAGCCATAAAAGGCTATTTACTAGTAGTGTCAAATATGTGTAAAGAGAGAAGTTTCAATATACTATGTTTTACATTGATGGAACTGTTTCTTGTAACAAATGACAACCTTGCTTTAATACAATTAAAAGATCCACTGTTCCTGTACTTTCTGCACTGAAAGACAAGTAATTACCAAAGAGGACAAATGTTTACTTCTACAGCTATAGGATAAAGTAAACTGTTGACTTAACAGTATTCCAACATATGATGTCATGTATAACTTTTATGTTACACTTTATATGGCATTCTTCCGTTTCTTTTTTCTTAGTGGTTCCTTGTGTGCACGAATTTCAACATAATTTATTTAGTTCTAACATCTATAAATATAAATTTAACCTGCCTCTTTTTAATTCCAAAAAATCTGGTTTCACAATAACACCAATATTGGTTTCCCATCGGCTGAAATAATGTCTGGTTTATATGAGAAAGGCAAAAGATACCAAAAGGATATCCAAACTCTTAAGTCGAAAACAAACTGACAATGTCATGGCAAAACGATCAATAGACAAATAATATACAAAACACTACATAGAAAGTTAAATACGGGCCCACACGAAATCCACCAAAAACTGTGTGTGATATCAGGTGGTCCGGAAGAGTAAGCATATCCTGTTTAGAGTTCAGTGATGATATCTGACATGGATGTTTCACTATTATTGATAAGTAGATCTGTTATAACAAGTAATACCGAGGACAGTTCAATTTCATACACCAGGAAACCTGTTGTAGACTGCTGTTAATGTTTACTTGGAATAATATTTTACCACCATCAGAAGTTCTAACACAATTACTAATCTTGGCAAGATTTCAAGAAGAGAACACACTATAACCATAGCTTGGTAACCCATTGGCATATGTAAGTCTAAATTTCTAAATGTCTTTATCAAAAGAGTAGGTTAAAAACTGCAATCACATTCTGGTACCTTCATGGCCTGCATGTGCCAGAAACCTAAATAATCAATGGTAAATGTCACACATACCAGGTACTCTTCCATGTAAATTCAGAAATTATTGCGATGTTTTTATTATTGCGAAAAATTCGACAGGGTTATAAGGCCAATTAAAATTAATTGATAGATTTTCATCCCCGCCCGCCCCTCTGAAATCGTTCCGCCCCAATTTTTTTTATTTTGAAAAATTTACGATTTCCGGATTTTGTTCATTTTCGTTACCGGTAACTGTCGATAATTTCGTTTCATTAATAACATCCTGTTTCAAATTTTGGTTTTTGCATTTCTTTGTATGTTTGATTCGTTATACATGTATATACATGATAGAACCTTATTATTACACTTGCATATATGAAGAACACGTCACAAGAGCGTTTCATATCTAATAAAAAATAAAAAATAAAATCCTCCCACCCACCCCATTTTTTTCAAAAATTTGGATGAAAATCTACTAATTAAATTTACTTGGCCTAATCGCAATAATTTAAACTCTAATTTTGATTTTTTTTATATGAATTAAACAGGATTTTTCTCAATATCGCAAAAGTTAAAATCGCATTTTAGTTTAAAATGACAAAATCGCAATAATAAATGCAGGCAATAATTTCTGAATTTACAGTATAGTCGCAGGGTGCTATGTATGCTTTTGTAGAAAATGTAATCAATTGAATAGTCAAATCTCAGGTATATGTGTCAAATAGACCAAAATAAGTTTAAGTGGAAACTATGAACCTCATTTTGCGTTTCCACTCTCTTATTAAGAAACCAAAAATATTTATTCAATAATTGAAGTTTCGGTGGTCTTATTTTTTAAATGTTGTCCTTTTAGGGTAATAACTTCCACAGAAGTTGACTGGTAATTTCAGCTTTTTTGCTTTGTTGACCTATTTGTGATCGTGTCTTCTGAACATTTTACTGTGCGACTTGAGAAAGAAACAACATGTTGGTTCACTGTTATAGTGAGTATTTTATTATTACAAGTATTTCTGATTTGTTGAGGTTAACCTGCCGTCAGATGTGTTGGTCAGGTGACTTGAGAAAGAGACAACATGTTGGTTCACTGTTATAGTGAGTATTTTATTATTACAAGTATTTCTGATTTGTTGAGGTTAACCTGCGGTCAGATGTGTTGGTCAGGTGACTTGAGAAAGAGACAACATGTTGGTTCACTGTTATAGTGAGTATTTTATTATTACAAGTATTTCTGATTTGTTGAGGTTAACCTGCCGTCAGATGTGTTGGTCAGGTGACTTGAGAAAGAGACAACATGTTGGTTCACTGTTATAGTGAGTATTTTATTATTACAAGTATTTCTGATTTGTTGAGGTTAACCTGCCGTCAGATGTGTTGGTCAGGTGACTTGAGAAAGAGACAACATGTTGGTTCACTGTTATAGTGAGTATTTTATTATTACAAGTATTTCTGATTTGTTGAGGTTAACCTGCGGTCAGATGTGTTGGTCAGGTGACTTGAGAAAGAGACAACATGTTGGTTCACTGTTATAGTGAGTATTTTATTATTACAAGTATTTCTGATTTGTTGAGGTTAACCTGCCGTCAGATGTGTTGGTCAGGTGACTTGAGAAAGAGACAACATGTTGGTTCACTGTTATAGTGAGTATTTTATTATTACAAGCATTTTTTATTTGTTGAGGTTAACCTGCGGTCAGATGTGTTGGTCAGGTGACTTGAGAAAGAGACAACATGTTGGTTCACTGTTATAGTGAGTATTTTATTATTACAAGTATTTCTGATTTGTTGAGGTTAACCTGCGGTCAGATGTGTTGGTCAGGTGACTTGAGAAAGAGACAACATGTTGGTTCACTGTTATAGTGAGTATTTTATTATTACAAGTATTTCTGATTTGTTGAGGTTAACCTGCCGTCAGATGTGTTGGTCAGGTGACTTGAGAAAGAGACAACATGTTGGTTCACTGTTATAGTGAGTATTTTATTATTACAAGCATTTTTTATTTGTTGAGGTTAACCTGCGGTCAGATGTGTTGGTCATGTGACTTGAGACAGAAACAACATGTTGGTTCACTGTTATAGTGAGTATTTTATTATTACAAGTATTTCTGATTTGTTGAGGTTAACCTGCGGTCAGATGTGTTGGTCAGGTGACTTGAGAAAGAGACAACATGTTGGTTCACTGTTATAGTGAGTATTTTATTATTACAAGTATTTCTGATTTGTTGAGGTTAACCTGCCGTCAGATGTGTTGGTCAGGTGACTTGAGAAAGAGACAACATGTTGGTTCACTGTTATAGTGAGTATTTTATTATTACAAGTATTTCTGATTTGTTGAGGTTAACCTGCGGTCAGATGTGTTGGTCAGGTGACTTGAGAAAGAGACAACATGTTGGTTCACTGTTATAGTGAGTATTTTATTATTACAAGTATTTCTGATTTGTTGAGGTTAACCTGAGGTAAGATGTGTTGGTCAGGTGACTTGAGAAAGAGACAACATGTTGGTTCACTGTTATAGTGAGTATTTTATTATTACAAGTATTTCTGATTTGTTGAGGTTAACCTGAGGTAATATGTCATCTTCTGTACAATAAAATAATGGTACACCTCAACAAACTAGACAAAGAGGTACATGTATAATTATCTACCACTTTACAAACAAGGAGGCACCAGGAAGGGACTGGAGAATGACAAGCCTTTCATCATTCTACTTCTGTTCACTATGTTATATTGATGATGATGTGAAATGACTTTTTAAAACAAAAAGGATAAAATCATAATTTAAGCAATTTAAATTCTCCAGATTCCCTTCAATGGCCCCCCACTGATTTTGACAATTAAAAAAAAAGCAAAACATGATGGAAATCAAAAACAAGATGCAAAAGAAGAGACACATAAAAATATTGTGTATTTGACTCGTGAATCAGTGACCTCAGTAAATACAACCTGCTTTCCCTGTAGATCATCCGGTCATCTTACAATACAAATGTTCTCTAATAACATTCTGATATATATATATATATAATAAACAACAGTGGTTTGTGATAAAAGAAACTATTTAAAATGTTTGGGCCATAAATAGCTGACCTAGCACTTTTTAAAAACTATATAAGGTTTTCCCTACAGCACCTCATCACATTTTTTTCCTTTTTATTTGTCATTTATTGATTTTCTGCAAATTCCACAAATCTAATACTATTATCTTATTATTATTAACTATTATCTTGATGAAAATATACACTAAACAAAAAAAGAACCAAAAATATCATTTCATGTTTGTAGGTTTTGTATGAGGTAAAAAAAAGAAAGTTGGTTTTAAGAGGTAAAAAAGCTTATTGTTTCTATATTAGATAAAAAAGTTTTTTTGAAGCCTACCGATGGGATGCTGCATAAAAATCAGTCAACAAATTAATTCATACAAAAGTAAAAGGCCATTCACAAGAAATCTTCTTTCTCTAAAAATCTTCTGGTTTTAAAAATAGTTTAATAACACAGTTTTATAAAAGTATGTAAATTTCATATATTTAGCTCCCAAATCTGAGGACTTTGAATTGTTGATCAACTCTGGTATACAAAGTTCCCTTCTATCTCTTTTAGTTTTCGAAAAAATATGCAACATTGCATAAAAAAGTAAAAAATTGTCCAATTGAAGGGCAACATCTAATGTAAATTATCTATTGACATTTTTAGTAGGTGATCTTACTAAATAATACAAATGCTTGTTGCTTTTCATTACCATGGTTAAATCTTGACTATCAAATGGTTCTAATATAAGTTCAAAATTTTTTTTAAAATTCAATAGGATTATAATATTCTCAAAAGAGAAGATTTTGGAATGGTCATTTATTAATGATGAAATGATCAGATCTAATACCAACAACATTAGCACTATTTTGCTTTGGGGATTTCAACAAAACAAATCATTATAAATACTCTATACCAAAATTAGATCTGTCTTCAAAAGGAACTTCTAAAAGTGTCTCCATAAAAAAAGTGATTACTTATAATTTGAAATTAAGTACATGGAAAAAACTGATCTGCACGTATTATGCACAGCTGCACTAAGTTATGCACAGGTTTGTTGGACAAAGATCCATGATTCATTTAAAACAACTGTTATTTTTAAGCAATGTTTCCAACAAAATCAGAAATTTTTAAACATAAAAAGTGTTGATAAATACGTTTCTTCTACAGATCTTATATATGACAAGTGTAAAAAGGTGAAAAGTCAACTGCAACTGATGCCCACTATAATCTTCTGACAAAAACCCACAAATAATATTATCATTCAAGGTTTTTAAATTCATTAGTTCGCTTCATCAATTTTTATCGATGATTAAATTATACAATAGTTGAAATCTATCATGAATGGTTTCATTGTTTTACTAATACATTTCATATCAGAATTAAAGTAATGATAAAGTCCTTGATTTGAATACAAATTGCATGTAACAAAAATAGTATATCTCATAATAAAGATTTAAGATATGATATACAATCAAGTATAAATCTATGAATGAATCAGATCTTACTATCCAGATAGAAGTACTGAGAGGTGCCAACTTTTGCTCTGTTATTAAGGGGGTACCAAACACCTAAGTGAGTTAACTCTTAAAAAATCAGCTGAACGTTTTAATCATTTACTATTAGTAAAGAGAAATTAAGCTTCTCAATGATCAATATTAGTGTTTGTCAAACTGCTATATATCCAATGAAATTCCTGTAAATTGTGTGGTTCAAATTTCTTGAAATTTTTATAAACAGGTCAAAGTAAACATTTTGTCAAAAAATTAAACGATCCAAATCTATTTTAGACAAAGTGTTGGGTATCCCCTTAATTGGTCAGATTCTTGTTGTACAGTGAAGCATTCAAGTAAATATTAATTGTATACAAGCACCTGCAAGATATAGAACAATTAAAATAAATTGGATTTTAAGTTTACATATCTAAGATTCACAAAATCACTGAAGAAAACAAAAAGAGAGGTAGATAAGTAAAAAAAAAAACACTCCACACAGTTTGTGTATAGAAAACAGGCCTGATTATCTCCCTTATAATCATATTTGATAATCTTCATTACATCCTATTTAATTTTGAATACCTGATTATTTATTATAGGTTTTAATTCCACAAATAGCTTTTCTCTTTCTGACAATTATTAAATGGTGATTATCTTAACCTGTCTTCTATACACAGCAGTTTCTAATGATAACAGAAAACAAAAATGATCTATGATTTCTGAAACAACATCCCTACAGGTATGATCAAAATGAACACATATGCATAATATATAGTAAATACCAATCTATACAAATAAACAGCTCCACGGCTGAAACACTTAGTAGCCTTGGCCAACCTGTCCACAACAATCTCTGACCAAGCATGTCCACTCTCTGACCAATCATGTGACAATATTTTCTCTTTTAAAATTCTATAACTTTGTTTCAAATCAACCCTAAACACTTAAGGATGTTCGCTCCTCTTATTTTTGAATTTTTGCCAGATATTCAGATTCCTCTGGTTTTATCCATGTAGTGCCATTAAAAATTTTGCCCACTAACCCCTACTTTTCTTTTCATTATTTTATACCATATAGTTTAAAAAGTCATATTTAAAAATATTATGAAATCCTTGTTATTTTTTCATAGTTTTTGAAAGAAAAATGGCGCCAATGTTAAATGTATGAAAAATCTAGAGAGAATCATTTCCTGCCAAATTTTCGATGGCTTCTATCTAGAAAACAAGCACACGGATCCTTCAATTTTTTCTGCTTTTTTAATTCCTTTATTCATATACTATCAATTTATTACATTCTTTCAAAAAGCTTGTTATTTTGAAACAGAGGAGCGAACATCCTTAAGCAAGAATACAAAAAGAGGATTTAAAGGTTTAAACATATTTGTATACTTTAGTGGTAATGTTTAGTTTATACAAATAATTATAAGAAATATGTTCCTACAAAAAATTCTTAAGATACAAGTCGTGTATCGTATTTCCCTCGTAATTTACTTGTGAATAACCAGCTTCCTGCATGATTTAATTCTGGTCTGGATTTCACATAAAGTTTGTCACAAAATAAGTTTCAAAAAGGATTCACAACTAAAACATACACTGCTGAACAACAATCAAATATCAAGAGTATACACATATTAAAAAGGGAGATAACTCTGTAATTTATCAAGCATTCTAATGTAGTCTTTAAAATCAAGAACTTTTTTAAGATTTTTTTTCAATTTGTAGGTAAATCACTTGACTTATCTCCCTTTTTTACAATTTCCTAAGATGGGCTTATAAAAAGATAATACATCGATTTCGTTCAAAAAACAATCACCGGGTTCAATGTCCATAACAACCAAAATGAATTGCCATGGCAACGATCACGTCAACATGCAATAAAAATTTCCATCACAGTCTCCGGCAGTAATGAGAAGTTTGTAAAACATCATATAACAAACAAATAGTCTAAAACTTTTTGTCCTGGTTTATAAACTTTGTAATCCTGATAGAGCATGCATAAAACATATTGTTTTCAAACAAAAAAATGCATTTAATAATTATGGTTTTGATCAACAAATCTTAAGAAATAAATAATAAATATATGGAGAAAATAAGTGTATTTAATCCTTGATGAAACATCTCACGCTATCAGAAATATAAAAGTTTTTAAACATCTTAAGCTGTCAGAAATTTAAAACTTCAGTAAAGACAACTTTTTCATGGTTTTTCAAAAAAAATAGAAGGTTTTCTTAGTGGTTAAAATTTTCAACAATGTGAAAAATGAATTTCACATGTTTATCGGTAATTAATAAATGTCACTTGTTTATCTGTTATCGATAATGTCACTCGTTTTTCTCATTCATAATTAGAATTTTGATTTTGAATATAGACTAGAGAAAGATAATATTGATAACACAGTTTAACTTTAGCTCAAAGAGTTTGGCAAGTGATATATTTGCAGTTTAACAAGTTATGCAGCCTGGTCTACCATGTTTTCTTGGACCATCTAAATAGTTCTCAAATTGTATGATGGATGAGATGAAGAACCTAGTTAATTGAAAAGAATGCAAGTAAAATTTGATGTTAGCCCCAGACTTTCAGTAATATAACTTTTGAGATATTCTCTTATATATCAGACTATGAATATCAAAGAATCGAAATACTGGATTTGGTGTTTCCAGCTCAAATCAACCAATCGAAATACTGGATTTGGTGTTTCCAGCACAAATCAACCAATCAAAATACTGGATTTGGTGTTTCCAGCACAAATTTTGTACTCCCAGTAGAAAGTAAAGTTTTAGAGGTCTACAAATAAATAGAATTTTATTAAACAAATTTTGTAAGTTTTTCACTGTAAACAATTTCTTCAGTGTTTTTTTTTTTGTTTTTTTTTTAAATAGTAGAGCATTTTGCCTTGGAAATCACTTAAAAACTTGCATGACAATCCTTAAACATATTTTGATGATGAAAGTCTTCTAAGCATTGGAATCCATAAGACAAATTATTTAAGGAATGACTGTAATATTTTTTCTGTCTTCATTATGAAGAAATAACATCAAAAATGTGGTGCACACTGAATAACCCGCATAGCGGGTTATTTTAAAGTGTGCACCACATTTTTTATGTTATTTCGAATAGACAGAAAAAAAATATTACATTCATTCCTTATAATTTAATTCTAAATTCCATTTTTTAGGAGTTAATTTTGAAAAAAACGTTGGTGACGTCACGGTCACATGACAAAATTGTGTCTATGAGCTGATAGACAAAACAATGTCAGCCAATCAGAAGACGCGTTACATCCAAAAAATTAAATTATTCAGTAATAAGGTCACTAACAACATAAACAAAGATAAAAAAACAAAAACCCATGATGCAACATAAAATAAGAAATCTGATTACTGATGACACAATAAATACCCATTCTCACGTATTAGTTGCCAATATCGACCTCAATTTCTAGATAAATCCTCATGGCTATATTGGCAACAATATTCTCAACTATTAGAGGTTGTTTTGAATTCAGAGACAAAATGACTGTGAATATATACTAACAAATCATAACAACAATTTATGTATACACAACAATTACATTAAAAATATGATACACATAAAATATGACCCGCATTGTTTGAAAATGTCATTTCCTACCTTAATGCCTCCTTACTGAGTGAATTGAAAAATTTAACCAGTGCCTGGATCCACTTTAAAATTTGTCAACATCAAACAGGATTCAACCCTTTCACTTAGGTTTCCCTAGTTAAAAACTCTAAGGGCATAGCAGTGTGAAGGGCATTTCAAATCTGCTATAAATAGAATTCATTTAAGAAAAATACTAACAAAAATACAGAATTTCACTGACTAAAGAATACAAATTTCAATTTGTTTTTTACACCAAAAGAGGCCCCCTTTAATTCTGTCTAAAAATACAAAGGAACAACCTATCCAAATATTTTTATCAAAACTACAAAATTTTAAAATATGCAGCCATTGAACATGTAAACCAGCAGTTCTAAGTGACAGAAAAGGCGGTCTATCTTTTGCTATAGAGAGTCAAAACATTATTTTGAGGTCAATTATTTGCTGTAAAAAATCAAATTTTTTTATAAAAGTGGGTGTTCAACAACAGAGAACTATACAGTTTCATTCCAAATTAAAGCTAATTTCCTAATGCATGTAGAGTAATACTTTAATTAGCTTGCTTGCTTTGTTTGTATATTGTACAATTGTAATTGGGATAGCGTCCAATAAAATTCAATTATAATATATACAGGTTTAACTATGCCTATCTATATTGTTTGCAGATGTCAATCTTAATAACAATGCTTGAGCAAACATTTATACAAAGCAAACAAGCCAACCAAACCTTTAAACTACAAGCATTAGGAAAATAGCTCTAAGTGTACAAAATGTTTACACTCTCTTTGCATACAATGTGATGAGAGAAATTTATAATTGATATTCTGACTGATTATTAAAATTCATAAATTGCTTGGTGTTGGTACAGATCTACAGGCTGTATGAAGTTCTATAAATTATTTCCCAGAATAAAAATACCTTAAAAGTTTAAAACAAATATTTTGGCAAGAACAGACTTACAGCCGATTTCATTGAGTGTGTAGGCAAAGGTAATTTCTTTGGTTAGCTTGCTTGTTAGCTGAACCTTGAAGTCACTATTAGGTCATGTATACTACCCTCCTTTCCAAGTAGCCTAGTCCAACAGACAGATAGATTGGTTATCTGTAGGACTAGTCTACTCTCAAAGGAGGGTAGTTTACCTAAACTACTAATGACTTCACAGTTCAGCTATCAAGCTAGCTAACCAAAGATATTACCTTTGCCTACACACTCAATGTAATCGGCTGTAATTTTGAGATAGGATTGACAATGATTTTGTAATTGAATTAGCAAAAGTACAGGACAGAAAAACTGCAAATTTTTTAATCACAACATCTATGCTCATAAAATGACTGCTCCCTGAGTAGACAAACATTGGGCATCTTAGCCCTGCCTTTACAAAGTGCCTCCCCCAAACATCACATCAACACAATGAAAATTCTATCAGATGTCAAATGCAGCTTGCACTGGGTAATGACAATGTATTCAAGTTTTTTATCTGCCTTAAAAAAAAACATCTTATGTAACCAAAATGGTCTTTAAAAAACCCTTAATTAATCTCAATTATTTAAAATTTTGGACAAAAAGAAAAAATCTTAACCATAATAGCCCAATGTTTCAATTGACACCCTATCCTGTGCACAAAGACCTCAATATAATTTAAAAATAGTTAGCTGTTTTTTATGAGTTAACTGTGTAAATCCTTTCTTCTCATTTAACTGTTCTGATGTACTACATTTCACCATGTTTAAGCCTCCCCTCCCCTCCCCCCCCCCCCCCCCTTTTCTCCCTGTACAGGAAATTTTTAACAATCCTTATATAACATATTTATGCTGTGATGTGTTTCTGTGGGAAATCAGTTATCCTAAATTATTGGGGGATAAGCAAACATACAAACGAGAACCCAGATGACGCCTGTGATTATCCCCCCTTCCAAAATGAATAAAATTCCACATTGATAATGGAAACCAGTATAAAACAAGTTAGTGAAAGAGGTAGTTATAATAAAATGAGGTATCTCCTTGGAAAATCAGGTCATTGTGACCTATTTAATTCGTCAGTAGATTAATGCCCTATACATGTAATAGTTCTCTCTTTTTTTTAAAAATAAATTGTAATTATTTCAAAAGTTTTTCTTTTTTATAAATGAGTAATGTGTATTGCACTGTTACTCAACTCAATACATTTTTTGCTCGGAAACTCAGATCAAAAGAATCATGTCTCATCAAGGAACTAAATCGGCCACAACATCTTATATACATTTTCAGAAAGAAAAAAAATGCTCGTCGAATGGTACAGATGTTTAAAGCGTATTTTAGGTGAACAAACAGAAGGACATTTAAATAGTGGCCATGAATTACCTATGATAACCTCTATCCTGCATACATTGAACTGAGCTGCCTTGAATGTGATGAGAGAGTGGAATTAATGACCAAAACATGTCCATCATTCAATTAAAACATTATATCCACACTTCAACGCAGAGTGGAATTAATGACCAAAACATGCTCATCATTCAATTAAAACATTATATCAACACTTCAACACAGAGGGATCTATAATCAATTCCTATTTTCTTAATTATTCGGTTTTTCACATAAAAAAAAAATCTGGTCTTTTCTCCTTTTTGGTAGAATGTCATTATTCTAAATTTTATTTCAACATATGAATTCACTAGTATATATATAAAAATGAGTAACAAATCAAATGGTGCCAAATATATATGTATAATTATTAAAATTGAATTGTGAATGAACAGTCTTTCACAGTCATATATGAAACTAGAATCATTTTGTTGATTTACAAATAGCACTATGAAACAATAAATATAATAATTTAAATATCTCAAAATCATAATTCTTAGTACAAAATATCAGTTGGTTTTGCTTTCAATTTCCAATAGTAGAAAAAAAACTGTATACATTTTAAATGATATAAAACTCCATTTACATAACACTAGCAACATTTCCTTTACTTCTAGCATACTAATAATTTATCAAGTTATTATACATAGGCATCGGTGAACATAAGTTTATCTAAAGCTTTTAAAACAAATCCCTGATGATCCAGTCTTACAACAAACATATATATTGCTGGTCTATGCTCAATCTTCAAATTAATGTTAGGTCAAAATTTTTTTTACTTCTTTAGGCCTTTTAGCAAGGATAGTTCCATCAAAAGTCCAAAAAGAATCTTACTTCATATTTTCAAGAGAACCAATTTTTTTCTTTTATTAAATACTGCAGTTCCTAAAAATAACCAAATCGAAAAACTGATTTAACTCATCAAAAGTTAAATGAATTTTCCTAATCCTAAAGTTTCTATAACCACTGGGATTGGTTGAATTTTACAAAGGACTGATAATATAAATCAGAATAGGGATTTGTGGTGTTATTGCCAATTTTACAGCTCTACACCAAAGATCAAAAGTGCAAATCTAAAAAAACTAGTCATCAACAAAAAGGGGAAAAAACAATTCTACAAAGAAAAGTTTAATATAAAATACAGTCTCCAGTCAAAAATAAATAAAAATATTTGACATGATTTAAAAAATAATTTATATCTGAAAATTATATGATAAAAAAACTGACAGTGGGCTTTACCAAAGCGTTTCTCTTGATTTTAAAATCTTGTATAATTTATCTTTATATATTGATGCATTAATTTTTGGTCATTTAATTCCAAGTGTAATACTAATAAAATTACAGATAACATTAATTGAGGCAATATTATAATTTGTATGCTGGACCTGTAAATCACCGGTTTTCTTTGTCCACTGCTCACTTTATTTACCCTGTTATTCTCCTTCCTGCTTCACATGTAATTCACTTCCTTGTTCTACTTTCACTTTCACTTTTCACCATGTTATTCACTTCCTTGTTCTACTTTCACTTTCACTTTTCACCACTGCAACATATGCAAGGTCATATGACTCATCCGAAGCTACTTTCATTTTCCTCCTCCAAACTGATTATATATAATGTGAGATGATAATAAAATAGTCATGTGACACCTGAGGTATTTCACTGTTTTTCGATCCCATGATCGAGTCATGCGATCCTTGAGGTATATAAATGAATAATAATGATTATTATTCATAAAAAATGCAGTCTCTGTCTGCTAATAATAATATATAGTAGATAACGTCAGTGAGGTATACTTTTTTCCGTATCCGACCAGGGAACAAAAATTATCAAAGAGCTTATGTGTAAAACAAACTTCATTACCCGCATCATACCGAAAATATCATATAATATTCCTAAAATAACACTATGCCAACTCAAGGAGGTTTAAAACCTTTTTTTAAAATCGTTTTGAAGAAAAAAATGCATGTCAAAAAAGCTTAACATACAAACAGCTAAAAAATTTGTTCATAAAATCTCTCAGTTGTTAGTAAACAACACTTTTTTTACTTTTCAACAAATGATAAAAAAAAAAAACATTAACCAGTCTTAACAAAACTTTGAAAAAAATCATAAATATAATAATATGAAATTCATGCATCAATTACTTGTTGTGAGTTGACACAATGTTCCTGAGGCGATGTGTTGGCATAGCAACGCTTTTTCCCTGGGTATGGAGGAGGAGGTGGTTGATACGTGTACGGCAACACTACCTCCTCCTGAGCCCTGATTCTACCCTCTGAGGTAAGTTGTCCATTCCGTAATGATGGAATTAAAGAGTCTGAGGTATTAGATTGAGGTTTGTCCTCATTAAGTGAGGTATGTTGGTTGCTGCCCTTTGTGACGTCATCACTACAGTCCACGCTGCTAACGGACCCCTCTGTCTCCACTGGCGATGGATCCTGACATGAAGGGGAACACGAGGTAGACTGTTGATTAGGGGCAGAAATCCTGAGAGATGATGGGGGAAGACAACTCCGTGAATTTCTTGAGTTACTTCCCTTTGGTACATCCTCTACAGATGTGTCAGGAGAGGTATTTTCTTCACCGTTTAGTAAAATGTTTGAATTCTGAGGTAGATCCTGGCCGACAAGGCTCTTATCATCTAAACAGCTTGTTTTCAGTCCTTTAGATGAATCTTCAGAAGTATGACTTCCATCACTGGATGCTAACATGGAGGCTATAAGCCCTCTTGTTTCCTAAAATATTAACCAACAAGTTTGAACAAGGTTAAAAATGGAAGACAACTGTTATCAATCTTTGTTACATTACCAATAGATCAGTCATTTCAACCTAAACTTACAAGTCATGTTTTTCTCTGATTGTTAATGGCGCCTTTATACTAAATCTATTGTCCCTGGTAAAGGGGGGGGGGGGGGGGGGGGGGGGGGTTGCCTTTAAACATGTTAAACCCTCTACATTCTTTATGTGTCTCTCCCATACCTGCCAACTTTTCGAAATCTCCATTGGGGATTTTAAGTGCAAGAGGACCAAATGCTCGTCTTATATTGTTAACCTTAATCGGGCTTGTATAGTTCGCACTGGTACATAGTCCGCACCCCCTTCTCCCCACGAAATTTCAGGTAAAAAAACTTTTTGTAACTGTTAGAAAAGGTCTAATGAAACTCCGGTAATTTTAAATCGTGTGTGGTCGTTTGCGGTATTTTCTTGGAAAAACCTATTTTCCATCACCAAACAGAAGCTGAAACTGCTTGTAAATGGTTCTAAAACACTTCACGCTGGTTAAAATAAGTCTAAATCACACGAAAAACAATTTAGAAACTAGTCTATGTTTAAACCGGAAGTTTGAAAAGCATGTGTAAAAGATGAAAATACCCAGTGAGAGTCGAAATCCGTACATAATAGATATCACTATAATACTTTGAAAGTAAAACAGTTCCCTCCTTATGTAAAACAGTGTTTAATATATCTATCACATTAATGTTTGAAGGGTCTTAAGCTAATACAAAACATATTTGTCAATAGGAAACACCAAAACGGAACGAATAATAACCGATTACGTTTTGTAGTTTACACATCGTAAGCTGGTTTACGGTTGTCTTTTTTTACTTTTTTTGTAAGATTTCATTCAAGCAGATACCAGTTTATATTTAGCAATGCATTGAAAAGAAACGAGAATTTTGTAATGAAGCATTTAATTTTCAAATTATCAGTATTAATTTGATATTGAATAAAAATAACTTATTAATATGGATTGGGTAAAATTATTGGTTTGAAAAATGATAAGAGCGCCCTCTACAATGTCAATAACAAACATGGCGGAACGTAAACAAACCACATCGCGAAATTGAAATTTTCTCTTATTTCTTGCTTATTGTACTCTATAGTCCGCACCCCTGCTGTCAGGGTCAATTTTGGAGAATAAAACCGCACCCTATACAAGCCTTTTAACGGTATGTGTTTTTAATCTACTACTCCATTACTTGAATGAGTATGTATGTGCTTAAATACCCTTTTAACTCATTAGAATGCCTGTTTTGAGGTGTTCAGTTTATATCAAAAAGAATTTCAAATTCATGTCAACACCTCTCATGGGGGAATTCCCCATAAATAGTGAAAGTTGGCAGGTCTGCTGTCTCAGGTCAGGAAGGAACATGTAGTTCAGTGGTTGCCTTGGTTCACATTTTTCCGTAAACTGTTTTGTTAATAAATTAGACCGTTAGTTTTCTAAATTGAATTGTTTCATATTTTTCATGTCCATGCCTTTTATAGCCGACTATACGGTATGGGTTTTTCTCATTGTTGAGGCTGTATGGTTGCCTACAATTGCTTACATCAACTTCATTTGAACTTTGGTGGAGAGTTGTCACATAGACAATCATACCACATCTACTTATTTTCATATTACAATAAATATTTGTGCATAAAATAAACCCTTTACTTAGATTATTATTTTGTATTCATTCTATTTATATAAAGCAAACATGTAAAAGGATAAATCACTATAATCAAATGTGTGTTTCTATAGATAAAATGCATACCTCTGGATTGGCTATTTCCCCACGTCCTGGGAAAGCTGTGACACGTCCATTGGGCACATGTCCATTTCTCATGCCATTCTTAAATGGAACATAGCCATTTATTCTTGTTCCATTAGGTGTGACAATCAGATTCCCACTGCCACATCCCTTTAAAACAAAGACTTATAAAAACACATGGTTTTAAACAACTCATGAAACACTTCATTTTATTCATTTAGTACCAAATTCTGAAGAAGCATAAGACTTTACTATTCAATGGAAACTCAAGTATATTCAACCATTCCATTAGTGAAGTTACTGAGGAAGAAAGTTATTCCTAGGAAACTCAAGTATACTTGACTTCCATTAGTGTAGTTACTGAAGAACAGACATATTCCTGGGAAACTCAAGTATATTTGACTGTTCCATTAGTGTGGTTACTAAAGAACAGACATACTCCTGGGAAACTCAAGTATACTTGACTGTTCCATTAGTGTAGTTACCATAGAACAGACATATTCCTAGGAAACTCAAGTATATTTGACTGTTCCATTAGTGTAGTTACTGAAGAACAGACATATTCCTAGGAAACTCAAGTATACTTGACTGTTCCATTAGTGTAGTTTCTGAAGAACAGACATATTCCTAGGAAACTCAAGTATATTTGACTGTTCCATTAGTGTAGTTACTAAAGAACAGACATATTCCTAGGAAACTCAAGTATACTTGACTGTTCCATTAGTGTAGTTACTGAAGAACAGACATATTCCTGGGAAACTCAAGTATATTTGACTGTTCCATTAGTGAAGTTACTGAAGAACAGACATATTCCTAGGAAACTCAAGTATACTTGACTGTTCCATTAGTGTAGTTACTGAAGAACAGACATATTCCTAGGAAACTCAACTATACTTGACTGTTCCATTAGTGTAGTAACTGAAGAACAGACATATTCCTAGGAAACTCAAGTATACTTGACTGTTCCATTAGTGTAGTTACTGAAGAACAGACATATTCCTAGGAAACTCAAGTATATTTGACTGTTCCATTAGTGTAGTTACTGAAGAACAGACATATTCCTAGGAAACTCAAGTATACTTGACTGTTCCATTAGTGTAGTTACTGAAGAACAGACTTATTCGTAGGAACATTAGTGTATTTACTGAAGAATAGACTTATTCGTAGGAACATTAGTGTAGTTACTGAAGAATAGACTTATTCTAGGAACATTAGTGTAGTTACTGAAGAACAAAAATATTCCTAGGAAACTCAAGTATATTTGACTGTTCCATTAGAGTAGTTACTGAAGAACAGACTTATTCGTAGGAACATTAGTGTAGTTACTGAAGAACAAAAATATTCCTAGGAAACTCAAGTATAGTTGAATGTTCTATTAGTGTAGTTACAGAAGAACAGACATATTCCTGGGAAACTCAAGTATATTTGACTGTTCCATTAGAGTAGTTACTGAAGAACAGACTTATTCGTAGGAACATTAGTGTAGTTACTGAAGAACAAAAATATTCCTAGGAAACTCAAGTATATTTGACTGTTCCATTAGAGTAGTTACTGAAGAACAGACTTATTCATAGGAACATTAGTGTAGTTACTGAAGAATAGACTTATTCGTAGGAACATTAGTGTAGTTACTGAAGAATAGACTTATTTGTAGGAACATTAGTGTAGTTACTGAAGAACAAAAATATTCCTAGGAAACTCAAGTATATTTGACTGTTCCATTAGTGTAGTTACTGAAGAACAGACATATTACTGGGAAAATCAACCACTGGACTGAAAAAGTGAGATGAAGACCATATACTCAGTAACAAACTTGTTACAAAATTATGGCAAACAAGAATGTGTCCATAGTACACAGATGCCCCACTCACACTATCATTTTCTATGGTCAGTGGACCGTGAAATTAGGGTCAACTCTCTAATTTGGCAATAAAATTAGAAAGATTGTATCATAGGGAACATGTGTTTCAAGTTGATTGGACTTCAACTTCATCAAAAACTACCTTAACATGAAGTGGGACAGACGGACGAACAGACAAACGAACAGACGGACGGACGAACGAATGGACGCACAGACCGAAAAACATAATGTCCCTCTACTATCGTAGGTGGGGCATAAAAACAATTATTGTTTACTGTTAAAATACACATTCCAAAGATTTCAATCATAATGAAGCTACTGAGAAACACATCTACAGCTTAAAACTTAGTGTAACCACTGGAGCATTAAAATGAGGTCACGACCAAATGGCATACACATCAAATGTCCATGCTTTTATAAACAAGATGTACTTTAAGCTATTACTTCTAATTATACTCACTTACAAGTAAACGCTTAACAGGGAGAAGCTTGATTTACATGTGCACATTTTATTAACAGACTTTTTAAAAAGTTTGTATTAAGAATAGACTGCAAGTGATGGCAATAACTCACACAACCCTTTTACCAGGTGAATTTTAACTTTTTTTTATTTGTTTAATTGTTTAATAATATGTCATTTATCTGAACTGACCTTGGAATCACAATTTTGATTCTCCGTCAGAATAGGTGTGAACTGCTCCATCTGGTGATGATCCAACAAACTCTGTTCTGCCGGACGACTCACATGACCGTTACCATGGTTTGGTATGTGGCCATTACCATGGTAAGAAGTTGTTTGTGTCTGTGGATAACTATTACTAAAACATCTAAAAAACAAATAGTCTAAGTTTAATGTATATTAAGTTACCATTTACTTAAGAAATATATGATTTTCAAACCAACTAAATACTTACTTTGTAGCTATTTGTAGAAGCAATAGGAATCCAAAAAACCTTTGGGTAAAAAAATAAAATCGGTGCGCAATGTTATTATTTTAAAGAGTAACAAACTACTGTAAATTCTGAAACTATTGCGAGGTTTTTATTAATGCGAATAATGCGATTCAGTGAGTATTGCAATAATAAAAACTCGCATTTTGATATCTAGTACATATATCTGTATATAGATTTTCCTGAAATCGCATTAATTAATCTTTTATTATTGTCCATTTCTCAAAAAATGCAATAATAAATGTATGCAATAATTTCTAAATTTAAACAATGAACAAAAAAACAGAGAACTGAAACTACATGTAGAACTGGGAGTTAGTGTTCACTTACATGTATGATACCCCCACTTTTATCATTAGTTAAACAGGAAGTTGAAGAAATATTATTCTGAAAGCGCATTATACAGTAAAGCTTGTATTTATGAAGCCCGATAACAACTTTCACAGAAGCTCTTATTTGTAGTTCCCTAGAAAAATTTGACAAAAGTTTCATACATGGCCTGTATAGGTTAGTATAATATATATGTTGGTATGCAGGAAGTTGATGAGCCATGAATCTGAGATCGTGTATTAGGGTAAAGCATGCTGAAATGAATCCTGATAAAATATATAAGTATTCCATAAACAGGAAGAACGACACATCTTATACTGTGTCACATGGTGTGGTAGGGTAACAGGAAGAATGACGCATCTTATACTGTGTCACATGGTGTGGTAGGGTAACAGGAAGAACGACGCATCTTATACTGTGTCACATGGTGTGGTAGGGTAACAGGAAGAATGACGCATCTTATACTGTTTCACATGGTGTGGTAGGGTAACAGGAAGAACGACGCATCTTATACTGTGTCACACGGTGTGGTAGGGTAACAGGAAGAACGAAGCATCTTATACTGTGTCACAAGGTGCGGTAGGGTAACAGGAAGAACGACGCATCTTATAATGTGTCACAAGGTGTGGTAGGGTAACAGGAAGAATGACGCATCTTATACTGTGTCACAAGGTGTGGAAGGGTAACAGGAAGAACGACGCATCTTATACTGTGTCACATGGTGTGGTAGGGTAACAGGAAGAATGACGCATCTTATACTGTGTCACACAGTGTGGAAGGGTAACAGGAAGAACGAAGCATCTTATACTGTGTCACATGGTGTGGTAGGGTAAAAGGAAGATCAATGAATCTTATACTGTGTCACATGGTGTGGTAGGGTAACAGGAAGAACGACGCATCTTATACTGTGTCACATGGTGTGGTAGGGTAAAAGGAAGATCAATGAATCTTATACTGTGTCACATGGTGTGGTAGGGTAAAAGGAAGATCAATGAATCTTATACTGTGTCACATGGTGTGGTAGGGTAAAAGGAAGATCAATGAATCTTATACTGTGTCACATGGTGTGGTAGGGTAACAGGAAGAACAACACATCTTATACTGTGTCACATGGTGTGGTAGGGTAATTACCTGTTACGACATAGCATTATCAGTACTGTAAACAGGGAAATTTTCGCGCAGCAGTTTTATTTTCGCTATGGTAAGAGTTGAAGCGCGAAAATAAAACAACTGCAAATATTTCAAGGGAAATCCAAACACAAAGATGAATCATACATGACCGTATGTCAATAGGAAATGTAGATGACTAGTTTAAAACATCGGTTTTACAGACGACAGATCTATACCACAAAACATAACTTTATTTCTAAGGGAAAGTCAATGTTAGAAATCAAAACTTTATCTCATGATAATCTAATTAACATGGAAGACATCTCCGGCAAGTGGGCATTACGGATATTACTAAATAAACAACTATCGTTACTGTTATGTAAATGACACCTGTCAATCAGTTTAAAAATGATTACCAATTGTATCTGTTGCACATATCAATCAGATCAAAAGATTGATCAATTAGCAGTAATTCTGTTAGCATTTAATTCACTCTTAATTAGGTCATTCTTCTCTGTTTATTGTGAATGTGTTTTTACAAGCAACATGACTAATAATTTTAAATCTGAACCGACAAAAGGATTTCTGATTGATTTTATCACTTGATTTAAATACATGTATTAAAACTGTACAGCTTCCAAATCATTTATGACAACAACTTATGTAGGACACTGGGACATCACAAATTCAAAACGTCACGAATCTAGATTTTGTTGGAAAATCGTGAAAAAAAGACGGCACGAAAATTTCACGGTTTACAGTATACAGATATAATTACCTGTTTCGACATAGTATTATGAGTATACAGATGTTATTACCTGTTTCTACATAGTATTATCAGTATACAGATGATGATGCACACAATTCCAATTAGACAGCCTATAATTATACCAATCTTCTGGTCTTTTGGACTACCAATCGGAGTGCTAACTGTAAACACAAAATACAACTTAAATCACAATCAAAATGTGGCAAAATGTGGCAAAAAGTTTTTGTTAAGGATGTTCGCTACTCTGTTTCAAAATAACAAGATATTTAAAAGACTGTTATAAAGTGAAAGTATATTAATAAAGAAACTAAAGAAGCGGAAAAAAATAAAAGGGTCAGTGTGCTTGTTTTCGAGATATTAGCCATTGAAAATTTGGCGGGAAATAATTCTCTCTAGATTTTTCATACATTTAACATTGGCTCCTTATTCGTTCAAAAATTATGAAAAAATAACAAGGATTTTACAAGATTTTCAAATATGGCTTTTTAAACTATATGTAATAAAAATATAAAAAGAAAAGTAGGGGTTAGCGGGCAAAATTTTTTAATGACACTACATGGATAAAACCAGAGGATTCCGAATATCTGACAAAAATTCTAAAACAAGAGCAGCGAACATCCTTAATCATTTACCTGATTTAAGTTATAACATCCTCAGAGAAGAATCTCCACTGTATATCAAATTTTTCTTTCTTTCTTAGTGTGATTTGACAAATTTGTTTATTCAAGTATACAAGAGATTTGAAAACATAAAGATTTCATTTCCTTTCCTTTATTTTCGATTTTTTTCCCGTGAGAGAAAATACAAAGGATTAAAGACGCTGATTGAGTAGTTTTAAGTTGCTTACTTTATTCCAAACCAAGTGCATTAATGTATGATTATGTTAAATTGATGAAAAAACATTTCGATAATTATAGAATAACTAATCGAAGAATTCAAATAGAGAAAAATATTCAACGAGTGACCGAACAACACATTAATTCACGAATGCGCGTAGCGCATGAGTTAATTATCAGTGTTATTTGGTCACGAGTTGGATATTTTTCGATATTTGAATTCTTTGATTAGTTATTCTTTTTATTACATTGGTAAATGGCTTTTTTTAATGAAATTAATGTAGAAAATGTAAGGAACTATATCTTTTTTCTACGCATTCACAATTTGTTTTGATCCGACGTTATCGACGTCTTGACAACGCCTATTGTTGTATGACGTCAGAGAGTGAAATAACCACGTTTATTTCACATGTGAAATTATCAGTTTTTATTTGACTGGGAAATCAATGTAATTCAATGCTACCAATGTAATAATATTTTATAATCTATTACAGTGTATTGCTAATTAGTTATTATGGTGATCAAAAATAATCTTAGGAAAACACTTGTGGGAAAAGAATGTCATCAGGAGTCGAAATAAGTAAAGTTCGGGATCACAAGAAAATATTGACTCATCCGAAATTTCAAGTCAACCAAGTTCGAGACATTGAGAGTTAACTGTATACTGTGGATTCATTTATTTTCATGGGTACCAATTTTCGAGGATTAAGGAAAACTTGCATATTGGTGGATATTTAATCTCGTGGTTTTGTCGAAGTCTGCAAACACACCTATAGAAAAATTTGTTATTCGTTGAACATTTAATTTCGTGGTTCATATGTACCCACGAAATCCACGAAGATTGGTATCCAACGAATAATAATGAATCCCCAGTATAAGAACTATTTGGATTGATTGATTGTTGGTTGCTTAACGTCCAGTGGCAAATATTTCATGCATATTCAGGACGACGAGAACTATTTGGAATAACCTTCACAATACCAATTTTAGTCCATTTTGACGATTAATGTCTACTCTAGGCCTTATACTAGACACATACCTGTATCTTTCTCTGGGACTACAATAGTAACTGTACTATTACCAGGTCCTGCCCCTGTGATTGCTAACATCTTCAGATAATAGTATATGCCTTCAGAATACTGTAAACTGCATGATGTTATAGTTCCTACAAAAGTCTCTTGCTATTATGATTGTCATATACAAATTTTAGATGTTTTTTTAATCTGTTATTTACAAGGTTTAAGGAAACAAGAGCCTACAGATTGTACTACTGATATCATTGCCATAAAAAAAAATGTTCTAAAAACTGTCAATTCAATTCAGTCCAATTAGTTATATTATACAAGACAATGACTTTATCATGAAAACTGAACATTGATACATAAAAAATAGAAATGACCAATGACTTCTAGTATCTGAGAAAGGACCTTTATCATAAAAACTCGATAAAACATAAAATGAGGTCAAGGTCAAATGAACCCCATCAAATGGACATGTACACCTAACAATTATTCTATACTCCCAATTTAGATGACCTATTACTCATATAAACTGAAAAATATGATAAAAACAATATCCAACTTTTTATGAGCAATTGTTGAACCATGAAAATGAGGTCAAGGACAATGGACAAATGCAAGATAGAAACACCAGACCGTATGGTTTCTTTCTATATACTGATTATCCAGTTTTTCTACTTTCTGAAGTATGAAGCTATATACCAGCACCCCTATAAGGCACAAACAATTAATACTGATACAAATAAATGGAGAATCGTGGACACAGATGATGCCCCCCATTTGCATATAACCTTATAAAGGGACATAACTCTAGAACAATAAATGTGACTCCATCCAAATTCAAACTTGATCTGAGTTTTGTGGTAATAAGCATTGTGTATAATTTTTATAACATTTGGTTGAGGCAAACTTTAGTTAGAGAACGGAAACGAAAAATTCAGCAATTTGTCCATTTGTAAAGGGGCATAACTGTAGAACGGTAAAAGTGACGCCACCCAATTTCAGACTTGATAATTCTTATGAAGAAATTACTAAGAAAACCTACCATTGACAGTAATTGTATACCAGTCTCCAAGAGGTTCATCGGATCCTAGTTGATATTTGATGACGTACGTCGTGATTTGACCGTTAGGTAATACTGGAGGTTTCCATGTCACCACAATGTTACCATTCTTCATCAGAGCAGACATGTTTACTGGTGGGGAAGGAACTAAAATAAAAGTCCAAAATGTTAATCAATTCACCGTTTCAGAATCTAAAAGGACTCTGGGTAATTTCCCCAAAATGAAAACAACATCACATCATTGGTTGAATTACAATTGTGTGGTACGTTGCAAGCCAATCACAACGTTTTGGTGTACGCTTATGAAAATATTACCCAGAATGCATTAGATTTTGAAACAGGGAATTGATACATATATCTGCATATATGTGCACTGCTACCATAACACAGATAAAGATAGATGTATAAATTAATTGAAAATAAGATTAAGCAATTTATAAGTGGACATAGATATTTAGTAATGGTCAACAAAGTATTGACATGGGGTCTACAAAAATTTAGGTGATAATTTCTCAAATTCAATATTGAACACACTGAGTTCAGTAGCTTACTTGCACCAAGCAACCCTATATCAAGATAATATGCATAGAAACTCAGCTTTGGTGAGAAAGATGTATATAAATCTTTTATGCAGGTGTTGCTGGAATTTTCCTACATAAACAAGCTAAAATTTGAACATCAAAGACATTTAGGTATGAAATTAGGTATGGAGTACACCTACCTGTATCAGGGGTTCTTTTCAAGGTGAAATAAGGTATCGAGTACACCTAACTGTATCAGGGGTTCTTTTCAAGATGAAATAAGGAATCGAGTACACCTAACTGTATCAGGGGTTCTTTACAAGCTCAATGCTATAACTATGCTATTGGTATTTACTTACAATAAGTAAGATCTTTTTAAGTAATACTAAAAGTTTTCATTTTAACATTTTTGGACACAAAAAAAACAACCTACCATCTTCCTCGGTGCGTGTGAAGACAGGTTTACTGAAAGGACTAGATTTACCATCTCTTGTATGGGCTCTCACATCAAACTGGTAGGATGTAAAAGGCTTCAGCTTATCAATGGTAGCAACAGTCCTGCAATCATAAAATCAAACATTTCTAATAATGTAAACCAGTAATTCATTCACGAGCGATTTATTTTAGCGATTAAAAAAATAACATGAATTTAAATCGTCGCAAATATGTGAAACTTGGATCTTCCCTTATAATAACAAAATAAACTGCTTCGCTGAGCACAACTGGATATGCCCGCAGAGGTCCAACCGTGAACAGTTGGGGCAAAAATGGACATAATATTCAAGCTTGATACAGGTCTGAATTTGGATTGTAATTAAATATTTGACATATTATAGGTTTCTGAATAAATGTAGTCAAAGAACTTGAAATTGGTTATATGAATTGAATTTATATTCAATTAAAGATTTCTTGCTGTTGTGCAATACACTGTGCTGTTGCGCAATGCTTAGTAAATCTGTTGTCAGACTATAAACAAATAAAATCTTATAACTCAGAAACCTAAATTCGAAAATTTATAAAAATCAAAAGGGAGCTTACAAAAATAGATATAAACAATTTACCAAAGTTTCATAAAAAATGCTGAAAGCATTTTTGAGTTATTGTCCGAAAACTGGAAAATCACCCTTTTTGTAATGAATAATACCCCATAAATCGGAAACATATTCTAAAATTTATAAAAATCAAAAGGGAGCTCATGTCGATAAAAATAAACAATTCATCAAAGTTTCTTGCAAATTGGTGAAATTGTTTTTGAGTTATTGTCCGAAAACTGGAAAATCCCCCCTTTTTTAATGAATAAAACCCCAAAACTCGGAAACGGTAAATCCGAAATTTATGAAAAACGAAAGGGAGCTCACGTCAACAGATATAAACAATTCACCAAAGTTTCATGCATATTGGTTAAAGCGTTTTTGAATTAATGTCCGACATGTTGACAACGGACAGACAGTCAACGGTATACCATAACACGTCCCGTAAACGGGCGTATAAAAATAAGAAGACCTCGCAAATTAATTACCACAAAGTTGGAAAGAAAGAACTTTAGGCGCTAAAATAAGTTCGTTTACAGTAGCTTCTAGTTATTAAGATTTTTTTTTATATACTCACATCATCATCTCGTTAATACAGGAAAAAAGGTCTAAATATTGAAAATTTAAAATAATCACTGTAGCCTACATATGAAGATCTTTGACACTCCTTGTATTTTTTTTTTTGATATTGAAAGCATATCACTGAATGGAGGCTGCACATGAATATCTTTGTAAATTTTTTTTTAGATATTGAAGGCATATCACTGAATGGAGGCTACACATGAAGATCTTCGTAAATTTATTTTTTAGTTTTTAGATATTGAAGGCATATCACTGAATGGAGGCTACACATGAAGATCTTGGACACTCCTTGTATTTTTTTTTAGATATTGAAGACATAACACTGAATGGAGGCTACACATGAAGATCTTCGTAAATTTTTTTTTAGATATTGAAGGCATGTCACTGAATGGAGGCTACACATGAAGATCTTTGTAAAAAAAATTTTAGATATTGAAGGCATATCACTGAAAGGAGGCTGCACATGAAGATCTTTGTAAATTTTTTTTAGATATTGAAGGCATATCACTGAATGGAGGCTGCACATGAAGATCTTTGTAAATTTTTTTTTTAGATATTGAAGGCATATCACTGAATGGAGGCTACACATGAAGATCTTTGTAAATTTTTTTTAGATATAACAAACCTAGTGACTGTGATAAATCTCTTGTCTTCCCTATCAGACTTGGTATGGGAGTACCGTACAGTATAATAGGCCACATCTGAAGCAGCATCAGGCTGTATCCATGTCAAGGTTACTTTAGTTTCCATGGTCATCACAACCTTTACATCTATCGGTGGTTGGATAGTGAAGTAGCCCATTTTGAATTCATCTACCACTGGGCCAGACGTACCATGTTGGTTTTTGGCTACAAGTGTCACTACATAAAAAGTGTTGTTTTCTAAAAGGCAAAGCATATATACAGGTTAATTCATACATACATCGGAATTCCAATGGGGACTAACTGTGCACCACTTATTGTGGACCTGTTTCTGTATTGTTGAGTTACAATTTATGACTAAAATCAGCAAAGATCCATCGAAACAACATCTGATACAAAAATTTAATAATACTTTTAGATATTTGGATGATATACTGGCTCTCAATAATGACGACTTCAGTATGTACACTAAAAAGATTTATCCTGCTGATCTGACTTTAAATAAAGCTAAAACTAACAATGAACACTGCCCTTTCCTGGATCTTGATATTTATATCTTTAACGGGAAGCTTAATACCAAAATTTATGATAAAAGAGATGATTTTTCATTTCCTATTGTCACTTATCCATTTTAATATGGTGACGTTCCCTTGTCACCATCTTTATATGGTGTTTATATATCTCAACTTGTTTTATTCACTCGTGTATGTAACAACGTTTCTGATTTTAACGAACGGACTGATGTACAGACGGACAAGGATAAAACTTAATGCTCCCTCCTCTACGGGGGAATAATATTGCTGATATTAACCTATAGTATAAGTTGTATAAAATCTGGCAAGAATTGTACCTGTGAGAGTGCTAACAAGACCGAACGGACGGACGCCCGATATTTCCATGCCCCCAGCAATACGTTACGTGGGGAACAAAAAATTATACATATAGCTTTTATACTCTCAGAGATACATATCAATTAAAAATTTATGAAATAGACAAGAAAAGAATTTCATCTTAAGATAGGAGTGCCATTCATATATGTTTTCAGAGAGTGCAGTTGCAATAAAGATCATGTACTTACTTTAATTCTAACTTTCCATATTTATTCATTATTTTTTGGGAAAGGGGGTATACAACTTATTTTGGAGTTATTTTTTGTTATTAGCACATATGTGAGCAAATCTAAAAGACATGGATACAACTGTCAAACAACCATACAGTAATGGACTAATAGTGAAATGTCAGTACCGTTAAAATCACAACTCTTGCCGGCAAGCATATTTGAGGATATAAATGTAGTACATATATAAAGACAACAGTAGTATACCGCTGTTCAATAGTCATAAATCGATTTCACTGAAACAAATCCGGGTCACAAACCAACGGAACAACAGAAACACAGAACTGCCACAAAAACTCTAGTGCAGTCATGTTAGGTCAGTTCAGGTCATGTCAGGTCTGTTTAGGTCATGAAATATGAAAATTATGATGAATTATGTATGAATATATGAAATATGAAACAAGCAAATATGATTATGAGTATTAAATAAATGAATACCACAGTATATAAAATAGAAGAAGAATGTGCCCACGGGACAAAGATGCCCTTGCTTGTAAATATGCAAGAGTCAAAGTACTACTTCAAACCTACTGACTTTTTGTTTTCTTTGAAACTTAGGGCTGTTAAAAAAAAACATACATGGGACCCATGGAAGGCACTTCCAAATCTCAACTATGGGTAAGTGTCATCTTTGTTTATGCATAGTGGAAATATAAATGAAATTCTAATTTGCCTCTATAGGTGGTTACCCCATTTTTGAAGTGCCTTCCCTGGGTACCATGTATGTTTTAATGGAACAGCCCTTAATGCGGAAACCGAAAATTGAGCAATTTTTTCCATTCGCAGAGGAATATAACTCGAGAACAGTGAAAGTAACGCCACCAAAATTTGAACTTGAACAGTGTTTGGTGGTAATTAGCATTGTGTATTTGTTTTATAACATTTGGTTGAGGTAAACTAAAATCAACGAACAGAAAACAATTTAGGGACGTACATACGGATGAATGTAAGAACGAACAAGGGTAAACCTTAATGCCCGCATTGCCCAGCAGCGATATTTTTATTTCCCTTGCAATGCATTCACAGGGGACAATAAAAGTCATAACTATATAAAAGTATAAAACATGATTTAAGCAGTCATAGAAATTGGGGTTTGGCATTTACAGGACCGAACTGATGATTCTACCAATTTTTCTAAGGAATGTATTATAAAATTATAAAAAATCCGACAGGATCCAATATATTCTTACAGGGCATGTCCTGTCGGTCCTGTGCTACTTTTGAGGACTGTTAAGGTGACCTATACTAACCCAAATCAGTGAGAACATAGAATCTCCTGTATGCAGGCAGATCAAACTCCTCAGGTTGCTCAGTACTACTGATTTTATTGAGGGACAACAGGTAACCAGTTGTAGGCAGCTCGTCACTACTATGTTGCCAAGTAACATTCACTGAGGTAGAATTAATCTGGTTTACTTGTATTGTCGGGACTGAAATATACCAAATCATATTCAAATCATATTCAAATCATATTGAATCACCCAAGTCAAATATCATGGCTGCAAGGTTACTAACATCATGTACACAAGATTCATTATTGTTCATCAGATTATTATTTTGGCATACTTTTGTAGGTAAAGATGGACCATGAATGCAAGTGTTTAAAAGAAATATGTATATCGTCTGTTTATGTAGTTCATACGTGTTTATCGTTTTTATATAGATTAGACCATTTGTTTTCCTGTTTGAATTGTTTTACACTAGTAATTTTTGGGGCCCTTTACAGCTTGCTGTTCGGTGTGAGCCAATGCTCTGTGTTGAAGGCCGTACCTTGACCTATAATGGTTTACTTTTATAAATTGTTACTTGGATGGAGAGTTGTCTCATTGGCACTCATACCACATCTTCCTATATATATTTCCTGTTTGTATTCAGAATTTGTAGAGCCATGAAATCATGAAAATTGGTACACAAGAAAAAAAATTCGTAAGGGTTCCACGGAACCCAGTGTCTCGCCTACTTTTGCTGTTAATCACAGGCTCAACAAAAATGAGGAAAAAATTTAATAAAAATATTCCTGTCTATACTATCTTTTGATTGTAAGTAGCTTCTGTCCAAATTTGGTAAAAATCCAGGATAGTTTATGAATCTAATAAATGTTTTAAAAACTTAAACTGCAGACTGTATGTAATGTTAACTGGAAGAAAAACTAAGTCCATTTATAAGTAAAATACGGAAAAAATGAAACAAAATTTTAACAAAATTTCCTTCTAAATACTAGCTTTTAATCATAAACAAGCTTCTGTCCAAGTCTGGTACAAATCCAGGATAGTTTAAGAAAGTTGTTAAAATTTTAAAAACTTTAAAAACAGAGTGAATGTAATGTTAACTGGCAGAAAAACTAAGTCCATTTACAAGTAAAATACGGAAAAAATGGAATTTATTTTACAAAATTTACTTCTGGATACTATCTTATGATCATAAACAAGCTTCTTTCCAAGTTTGGTAGAAATCCAGGATAGTTTAAGAAAGTTGTTAAAAATTTTAAAACTTTAACCACAGAGTGAATGTAATGTTAACTGGCAGAAAAACTAAGTCCATTTACAAGTAAAATACGGAAAAATGGAATTTTTTTTTTACAAAATTTACTTCTGGATACTATCTTATGATCATAAACAAGCTTCTTTCCAAGTTTGGTAGAAATCCAGGATAGTTTAAGAAAGTTATTAAAATTTCAAAAACTTTAACCACAGAGTGAATGTAATGTTTCCTGGCAGAAAAACTAAGTCCATTTATAAGTAAAATACGGAAAAAATGGATTTTTTTTTTTACAAAATTTACTTTGGAATATTATCTTATGATCATAAACAAGCTTCTTTCCAAGTTTGGTAGACATCCAGGATAGTTTAAGAAAGTTATTAAAATTTCAAAAACTTTAACCACAGAGTGAATATTTGTGGACGCCGCCGACGCCGCAATGTAGGATCTCTATGTCTCGCTTTTTCGACAAAAGTCGAAGGCTCGACAAAAATGAATGATTCCCAGCTTCATCAAATTTTCCTTGATAATATTTCCTTATCTATTCTTTTGCCTCTTACTATTCAAAGACCAGGATTGAAAATTTTTTTCACACAATTTCAGTCATTTTGAGATGACTTGAAAGTATGGGTCTTTTTCAAACTGTAAAAATTATTCACACTTGATTCAGGCATCAACAAACTAGTATTGACTGGTTTAATCACATCCACTTCATACCGTTTTAACTATAGGTCCCTTCAATAATGAACAAAATCTATACTGTAGAGCAAGCACAATACCACATAAAGCCTTTCAGCAATGATTTTTAATGTGTGAACTGATGTTTGTTGTTTGGCTATTAGTATCCTCTATTTATTTACGCCTAAGATGTAAAGATTAAATCTTACCTGCGTTATTACCTGTTGAAGTGCTATAGTCAACCCATGGCCAGTCTTTTGTCTCAATACGACAGTAACCAGCCTTGGTAGATGCCAATACTCTCACACGGTAATCCGTGTCAGGCTCCAAACCTAAGATTATATAAACGTCATTTCTTATGCCCCTTTATGTCGATTCACTTAGCATTTTTATATTTTGCAAGTCTTCCCTTCTTTTTCTTTTAAATTATTTAAATATCTATTGATTCCAAATTCTATTATTTTTATTTTATATCTATATATATATATATATTTGTTATGTATGAATACCCTACAATAGTGCATATGGTGTAGCATTCTTCTTTTTTCATTGGTTATCATGATCACATGATTCAAAGATTTTTATTAATGCGAATAATGCGACTAAGTGAGTATCGCAATAATAAGAACTTGCATTCTGATATCTGATCGATATATCTGTATGCAGTTTTTCCTGAAATCGCAATAATTAATCTCGCATTTTTGTCCATTCTTCAAAAATCGCAATAATAAATGCACGCAATAATTTCTGAATTTACAGTATTTAAGTATATGGATGCTATGTTTCTATTTATATATAAATTCAGGACTTTCAATCAGGCAATACTTTATATATGGACCTGTTAGATAATATAGGACCTCGGACTCCATCCTCAATCAATATAATCTGAACAGGTCTATATATAAAGTATTGACCTCCTCAAAAGTAGATAACTGATAACTACTAACCTGTGATAAGGAAAGACATAGCTGTGCCTGGTGTGGTTTCCTTCATGATGATTTTACTCTCCACTTTCATGTAATATATCGAGTACTCAACAATGACTCCATTTCTAAACTTGCGAGGGAGAGGGTCCCATTTTACTGTGATGGTATTAGCTGTTGTGCTCACCAGTCTTATCAATGGAGCTTTACAAGGAACTGAAAACATATTATTAAGATGATGCTTCAATAATGGCTTCCAGTTCAAAATCAATTCCTGTTTAAGGATGTTCGCTACTCTGTTTCAAAATAACAAGATTTTTAAAAGACTGTTATAAATTGATAGTATATGAATAAAGGAACTAGAAAAGCAGAAAAAAATGAAGGGTTCGTGTGCTTGTTTTCAAGATATAAGCCATTGAATATTTGGCGGGAAATAATTCTCTCTAGATTTTTCATACATTTAACATTAGCACTTTTTTTATTTCAAAAACTATGAAAAAATAACAAGGATTTTATAAGATTTTCAAATTTGGCTTTTTAAACTATATGTAATAAAAATATGAAAAAAAAATTAGGGATAAGCAAGCAAAATTTTTTAATGACATGGATAAAACCAGAGGATTCCGAATATCTGGCAAAAATTCAAAAACAAGAGGAGCGAACATCCTTAAATTGATAACAACAAGTTGACTGTGAGCTATATCTCCCTTAAGATACACCCCCCCCCCCCCCCCCCCCCCCCCTTCCCCTTTCTCTCATAAGTATTCAGTAAAAAGTTGATGATTGATGTAAAAATAAATCACCGTGTATAGCAAGCAGACCTGATAGGTGATTACAATTATAGACAGCCTTGATTTGTACATCCTGGGAAAAACAGGATGAAAAATATATAAGTATTCCGTAAAAAGAAAATGGACGAGAAATTAATATGAAATGGCATCACCAAGGTAAAGCATGCTTACATAAAAGCTTGTTAACAAATTGCAGAAATCTCTAATTTGCAGTTCCTGAGAAAAGTGTGACCAAAATTTTGTTGGGCAAACAGTCACACAGAAGAACGGACAGATGTAAACTAGTAAATAAATATCCTTTGACCAACCTACAGAAAATCTGATTGAGGTCTGAAATTGGGGCAAGTATATAAACTCCTCTTAGCTGTAGGTGAGGACTCTAATTGGTGATTGAAACTAAATATTGGTCTTTGGAACTAGAAAGTATCACAAAGCAAGAATGTGTCGATAATACACGGATGCTCCACTCGCACTATCATTTTCTATGTTCAGTGGACTATGAAACTGGGGTCAAAACTCTTTAATTTGGCATTAAAATTAGAAATATCCTATCATAGGGAACATGTGTACTAAGTTTCAAGTTGATTGGACTTCAACTTCATCAAAAATTACCTTGACCAAAAACTTTAACCTGAAGTGGGATAGACGGACGAATGGACGGGCAAACGAACAGACTGAAAAACATAATGCCCATAAATGGGGCATAAAAATTAAATTCATGGATAGTTTCTATAGATACTTTTCTATGAAGCCTTTTTTAATACCCCTGGCCCTGCTCTGCAAGGAGAAGGGGGTTTACTAGTTTAAATCCGTTTGTCCTTCTGTTTATATAAGAGTAAATGCTTACCATCCTCCAGTGTTGCCACTGTGACTGGATCTGAATGGTCCCCTGCCCCACACAGGCTTGTAAAGGCTGTCACAAACGCTGTATAATTAGTATAAGGTACCAGACCTGTAAACGTCTTCATTGAATCTGTTGCCAACATCACTTGTGTTTCTACATTACCTGAAAAATAATAAATATGTTAATGTGTGTTTAGTTGTGCGTTTGATTATTCCACATTGGCTAGTGATATAGGGGGAGGGTTAAGATCTCTCATAATATGTTTAACCCAACCACATTTCTTCAGGAACATCTAGCCTTTGTACTAATAGTCTTGTGCAGTTTTTTTTATATTTTGGTTCATTTGTATGTTTCGAAGTTTAATGTGTCGTCCATTTCACAGAACTAGTCTACATTTATTGTTATGGGGACAGCTGAAGCCCTCTTCCAGGTGTGGGATTTTCCTGTTTCTTTGAAAACCCATTGGTGGCCTTGGGCTGCTCTTTCTACGCCAAAATGTGACATTTCTTGTACTTACTTCCAGTGTCAGACACCTTCATTGTGACAGAGTACGCCAAGATGTGACATTTCTTATTGAAGACAGGTCTGGACCATGAGACTCGTATACTTGTACTAGACACTGCCTCAGCACTCACATTAGGTTTTCCAGGTGCTGTGTCTGTAATCACAAATAATCAGTCATGCATAATGTTATGGTCAAAAGTGCTTCACAAAGTTAAAAGAACTAAGGGACATAAAACTCAAATAAAAATTTTCCAATTTGAAGCGATTCTATTTATATGTTCTTTTGGCCATACTTAAAAATATTTTGGTTTGCCCAAACCCTACCTAAAGGTACAGGGCTCGACAATAACGCTTGTCCGATTGTCCGGTACCAGAGGAAAAAAAGGTCGGACAAGTAAAAGCTATATCAAACTTGTCCGACGGGACAAGTTAAATTATTATGCAGAAAATAAATTTAATCCAACTTTGATGAACAAAGTAATTATAAACAAAACACAAGAAAAGAAGATAAACACAAGTACTAATTTGACATGTTTACTTGAAATCGATAATTTAAAACTGGTTCTTTGTCAGGTACTTTTTAACAGGTAAAAGACATACTATTCTCGGAAACCAGTCTTACTGATGATGCGCTTTGTAGATAGGTAACTTTACAAGACAGTTTGTCACCAGCTCGGAAACGATTTGGCTCCAAGTTTAATAGACAGTTTGGTACCGTAGGAGACATATTTAATAGAAATGATTAATAGACAGTTTGGGAACGCAGGAGATGGGAGACATTTCGGGACCAAGACAAATCAGTACCTCGTTTTCCTACCTTATTCTGTTGCTTTATAATAAATACAATACCGTAATTTTTTTAACAAAAATATTTTTTAAATAAAAATGAAGAAATTATTTACCATAAAATTCCCAAATCATATTTGATCATATATAGAAGAAAAAAACAATACTTGCTATACGGTGACCTATAGTTATTAATTTCTGTGTCATTTGGTCTCTTGCAGAGAGTTGTCTCATTGGCAATCAAACCTCATCTTCTTTTTTTTATTGATTGAATTTGAATAAACTTTTTTCAACTTAAAAAACCAGGATACAAATCCAATGAGTGGAAATAGACAGGCCTATCAGACGGTGCCTCATGTGTAGAGTCTGATGAGACTTTGGCATTGACGAAAACTAGAACCTAAGTCCTGTGACATGACTAGATTCAGTTGTTCTCGACTCATATTTTTAAAAGGTATTTCAAAAGATATAAATCAAATTCTGTTCTATTGTTTTAATTCACTTTGTTCCTTGAATCAACTTAAAATGCAAAAAAGGTTATTATTAAGATGTTTGTTGGACAAGTTACAATTTCATTCGGACAAGTAAGTTTTGGTATGTACTTGTCCAACTGGACAAGTTGGAAAAAAAGTTATTGTAGAGGCCTGAGGTAGAGACAGTGGGTAGGTAGGTAGGCATGGTTTTTTTTCAGCAAAGAGAAATTGATGTGTCAGATGTTTTTAGTCTTCATGCCTATCTGATTAAAAAAAAACTTTTTCACATCAGGACAATAAAAAACTTTTGAGTAGGCCGCTATTTTCTAGGTAGGTAGGGTTAGGGCAAAGAAAGATATTCTTGTTTATGGCCTGATACAAACCTCTCCTGTATACTTATATATCCTTTGAATAAACTTATTCTGAAAGGTTATCAATTTAACACTATCATGACTGTAGTAAGATCTTTCAATATTGTCTTATTGTACTAATTGATTTTTTTTTTATTAAATTAAACATTACTACACAGCTATGAACACTTATGGTTCTACAGCCTGTCAATACTTATATAACTTAACATTGCACAAGGTCATATTTTTCTCAGTCTTTACACTAAATCCATTGGATGTGTACTGATTCAAATTTTATTCAGAGAAAACTATCAGCTGGAATTAACTTTGAACTTGTGATTTTTGTCTTTTTTTTCTGTTGTGGGCTTCCTTAATTTCTGTTGTTTTTAGAATAAATCAGGCTGCTTGTTCTCTCTTATAAAATGGTTCCATATTTTGTCATGCTTGGGCCTTTTATAGCCTACTATGAAGTATTGGAATTGCTCATTGTTGAAGGCTATACAGTGCCCTCTAGTTGTTTACATTCTCATCCTGTGGTCTCTGGAGAATAGTTGTCTATTTGCCATTCATACCACATCTTCTTATTTTTACTTTCATATAAATTTTATAAAAAATTGCTTTTATTGATTTTGGACTTGCAAACTCAGATTCTTTGTGTCTTATCAGAAAAAAGAAGATCAGTAATAATTCTCCAACTCCTCTGACCCACCTTTTGTTGTTATGAGAAGCCTGGCGAATGTTGATGTAAAGTCGACACTGTTTTCTGCTATACACTGATAGTACCCAGAATCCTCTACTACAGTCTGTTCTATCACAATTTGTCTCCCTTCATCTTTAATCTGTAACAAATAATCATTCATAATACATATATTGTCAGCAGTGAAGGTGTGTTTGTATTTAATTTAGCAGTGGTGTGTTTGTATTTATAGCAGTGGTGTATTTGTATCTAATTTAGCAGTGAAGGTGTGTTTGTATTTAATTTAGCAATGAAGGTGTGATTGTATTCAATATAGCAGTGATGTGTTTATTCAATTTAGCAGTGAAGGCGAGATCTATAACTAAAATAAGGGGGTATATCTGGTGGTCATGTCAATGATTGGATCCAATGTACACATCTGGAAATAAGAAGAATGCCCTCTTCGTCTTGCTGAGCATACCCTCATCCCTAATTCAAAGTATCAGAAAAACAGATAGATGGTGTTTAACAGATTAGAATAAAATGCTCCGCAGGGCGCAGCTTGATACAACCGCAGAGGTCGAACCCTGAACAGTTGGGGCAAGTATGGACACAACATTCAAGCTTGATACAGCTTTGCATTTGGATTGTGATTAAATATTTGACACAGCATGGGTTTCTGACACAGAATGAATGTGGTCTAAGAACTTAAAATTTTTTAATTTACCTATTCAAACCATATCATTATTATTTGCGGTCGTATAAAAAGCTCTCACACTTAGAATCTATCACTGTCAAGCTACTGACCAAATATGAAGTCTGTAGTACTGAAGAAACGTGTGATGAAAATCTTTTAAGTTTATTCAACTAACTCAATAAATTCAAAATATCAGCAAACAAGAGGTAGGTGTCCAATTGATATGAAGAGAAGAGTGCACACACATTAGAACTTATTTCATTCAAGCTGCTGACCAAATATGATGTCTGTTCAATGGTGTCTGAGAAAAGTGTGATAAAAATATTTGTTTTCATTCAGGGTATGAAATGCAAAGTTTACATACAACAGACCACAAGAATTGCCCTGGTCCAAGTGATACGACAGACCACAAGACTACCTTGGTCTAAGTGATACGACAGACCACAAGAACTGCCCTGGTCCAAGTGTTACAACAGACCACGAGAATTGCCCTGGTCCAAGTGTTACAACAGACCACGAGAATTGCCCTGGTCCAAGTGTTACAACAGACCACAAGAATTGCCCTGGTCCAAGTGTTACAACAGACCACAAGAATTGCCCTGGTCCAAGTGTTACAACAGACCACAAGAACTGCCCTGGTCCAAGTGTTACAACAGACCACGAGAATTGCCCTGGTCCAAGTGTTACAACAGACCACGAGAATTGCCCTGGTCCAAGTGTTACAACAGACCACAAGAATTGCCCTGGTCCAAGTGTTACAACAGACCACAAGAATTGCCCTGGTCCAAGTGTTACAACAGACCACAAGAATTGCCCTGGTCCAAGTGTTACAACAGACCACAAGAATTGCCCTGGTCCAAGTGATACGACAGACCACAAGACTACCTTGGTCTAAGTGATACGACAGACTACAAGAACTGCCCTGGTCCAAGTGATAGGACAGACCACACGACTACCCTGGTCTAAATGAGACTCTTACTTTGTATCTCCCATGAGTGTTGCTGATTAATGTTATCCTCTGTCCATCCTTATACCATGTTATCTTAGGCTTCGGAGATCCTTCTGCGTCACACACAAATATAATAACTCGAGACCTAGGAAATTTCTGGTTTTTAGGTTTCTCTATTATAACAGGTGGTGCTGAAAAAATAATCAATAATAGGTTGTTGTTTTAGCAGGTAAATCTAAATGAATTAAGTTTTTTTATCTGCAAGTAATTATACAATAATTAGTTGTTGCTTCTGCATGTAAATTACATAGGATATTTGAGCGAAAATAAAAAATGCACATAGGGTCATTTGAGTGCCGACATCATAGGAATTCTTGCGCCAGAATATTAACCTTACCTGGATTTTCAAAAAGGGTGTTTGAATGAAATTTCCTGCGATACTTTTATATGAATTAAGAAAATATTTCGCACGAATCATTAAGGAAGATGAATATTGAGACAAATATATTTATGCAGTGTGCTGGAAATTTTAAGGATGGTACTTACAAATATTGCCCAAAGTTCTTTAAACAATTATATACTATTCATGGCTACAAGAACGGAAATTATGTCCCTCTTACAAGTATGAAAGTTATGAAGGATTTTTTCAGTCAATTGAAACGAAATGCTGAAGGTTTCACTTAGGCCAAGCTTGGTGGTGAAAAATCCAGAAAGTTGGAATAAGTGGTCAATACAAAGACATCAGATATCATTAAATGGTTGAAAGGAGCGTTTGGGATAGTTTTCTTAGCTCAAGAGAAAGTAGCAGACTGTCTTGTAGAGGATTTTATGACAGTTTTACATAACGACAAGCCTTGTTTAGACATTGGTGATTAATTGACTGAAACTTACATCACAGACAAATAGTTTTTCCCCCTTATCTCTGGGCCACAATTCACTCTACGTCAAAACATACAAACAAAGGACCAGAATCATTCCATGCCCATTATAATGAGCAATTTCATCAAATTTACCCATCAATTTATACTTTCCTTGACACCATTGTCAAATTGCAATCAGTGCTGTGACTTACATCAAAAATTTGAAAACTGATGCACCTCAGTGCCGAACAGACAAACTTTGTGTGTTATAAACTCATCATTTTATCATCTATATCCTGTTCGAAATCCTACTTCCACCTCCCAGTGGTGAACAAAGGTAACAGATTATATCAGGTGAACAGAAGAGGTACTCCTTCATCATTCTCAATTTTTTTATGGTCAAATTTCCTATGCTTATTTTTTATTTTCGCTCAAATGTCCTAAAATTTTAGCGCTCAAATGTCCTATACTTTGGCGCTCAAACGTCTTTTTTTTTAATTGCTCAAATGCTCATTGTGGATGTAGATATATAAAATGATTAATTGTTAATTCTGGATTTTTTATTTGCAGTGACTTAATGTTGGAACGAAAATCTGGGCCTGATATGAGTAAATAATATGTCGAGATAAGGGTTTACTAATTATATCAGGAAGAACTTTGTCTTGATCAATGATTAATGAACCATGAAATTAAGGGTTAACTGAACTAAACAGTATGGGTTTTTCTCATTGTTAAAGAAGGTACAGTGACCTATAATTGTTTACATACATGTCATTTGAACACTATCCTCATTTGCAATCATACCACATCTATTTTTTAATTGGAGGTCAAATGTCAGACAGTGGTATACACATTCCAGTTATACTGTAAACCTTCTTCTCAAAATATATTGAGAATACTGTGTAATACATCTGTTTATTTTATATGTGAACAATAGCATCTGGCAAGCTTTCTATCATCTTACTTGTAACAATGAGGTTAGCCTTAGCAGTAATTAAAGGTCCATTTTGACTCTTACTTGTAACAATGAGGTTAGCCTTAGCAGTAATTAAAGGTCCATTTTGACTAGAAACTTCACATATATAACTGCCTGTATCTTTCTCTTCCAATTCTAACAACTTCAGATTTGTCCCCTGCAACACAGCTTTCGTGATGTTTTTACCATCTGAAAAACAGAACAGAAATAAACAACAAATTCAAAGTAAAACCCATGCAAGAAATGTCACCTTCTTTAAATATATGTACAATGTATGATATCTGTCAAAATTACTCATCAGTACTGATATATTGATTCCCTTTATACTGAGGATTTTGATGGGCCCACATTACTAGTTTTTTTAGTCACTGTACAATGCTGTACACACATATATACCCTAATTATGAACTTGGATATACTCAGCAATGTTTACTCATGTTTTTTTCTTTAAATGACTGACAAAAACATGTTAAATGTTTTATTTGTGTTTTATATTTTGGCCATCATCATCAATGCTTAATATTTAACAGAAATATGTAGCTGTAGGTTCAAGATCTGAAAGGTGAAAATGATTTCACAGGATTTGGGTAATTTTCCAGGACTTGAAGTCATGCTAATTTTTTTCTACAATTACATTCCTGGTTCATCAGAATTGCTTCTTTTTAAATAGGTTTCAGTCCATTCTGACACTGAAAATTGTGACTGCTGTCTGACTACAAAGGACCCGCTCTCCAAACCTTCTCTAACAAGACTAACCTTCCCACCTCCATTCATCATTGGGTCTTGGACTGCCATTTACCAGACATGATAGCACAATGTTGGACTGTTAAACCCCCCTCCATCCCTCTCTACCAAGTCCATTCTGTCACAAGACTTACCTCCTCACCTCCATTTAACATTGGGTCTTGGACTGCCATCTACCAGACATTCTAGCACCATGGTCTGACTGTTTAAGGACCCCCCTTTCCATCCCTCTCCAACAAGACTTACCTTCTCGCCTCCATTTAACATTGGGTCTGGGACTGCCATCTACCAGACATTCTAGCACCACTGTCTGACCAGACTGAGCAACAGTATCTGATGGTCCAGCAACTATTTTTGCTGGCCTTGGTTTATTCCCTATAATACACATTTAATTTTGGTTAAAGGTAAAATATCAATGACAGAAACAACAGGTAATAATTACATTATATACAAGCTTCATAAGATTCCGTAATCTTGATAGGCCAAGGCATTCCAAACTGATAATCTGTTGACGCACACAGTGACAATTAATAACACTGTTTTGATCAGTTTGTAACATATTTTGATAGATATAGTTAGGGGTAAAAAACATACAAGACTAACAAAGGCCAGAGGTTCCAGGCTTGGGACAGGCGCAAAAATGATATACAATAATCATATGTTCACTGACACCTATTTTGAAAGAATTCAATCAGTAACATTATGAATGTGTCTAAGTACTCTACTGTTATATGAATACACACAAAAAAATAAGATCATCAGATAAATAAATCGTAGCTAAACACAAAAAAACTATCGACAAAAATGCATTTGTTTATTGTATTACCTACCTGATTTGACTGTGAGGTAGGCTTCAGAACTTCTCTTCCATGTAATACTATTGACTGTATCTGGTAGGTGATGTAATCCACCTGAGGTAGCGTGACAGCTGTATTGGCCCGCGTCATCTGCATTCACTTGTAAAATCTGCAGAATCCCTGAGTTTATAATGATATACCTGAAGAAAAAAACAGATAATATATTTTATTGGAGTACAGTCATAAAATAACTAGTTTTTCTCTGTAAAAGTTCAGTGCAAAGAAGGCAACATGTTGAAATTATTAATTGTTATAGAACAAATAAGTAAATTGTATGTGCAAAAGGTCGAAAAAAAACAACCCTTTGATTAATTAAGTCTATTAGCCTTTTTTTTTTATTTTAAGTGTGATCATTTTCAGTTTTGTCATTAGGCAAAAGACAATTTGGTCAGCATTACATACAGGGATCACCACAGGCTATTTAAATCTCCAGCACCACTCTTGAATTTCTCAGCACCACCCTTGAATTTTTGAAAAATGTGATGAATAGGTAAAAATTTTGACAATTTTTACTTCAAAAGTATAAATTCATGCCTTAATTACAATTTTTTTTACAATTGTCTTCAATTTGTTTATCTTTTTCCTAATTAACAGATTATGATCTACAATAAAGATCTTGTGTGATTGTAATTTCAATATAATTTTTTTTTCATGAAAACCACCTTTAAAATAAATTCTGTGGTGGTCCCTGACATAGTCATGCTGCTCTTCATACAGACAATCATTAACACATCCTAGTTTTAGGAAATAAATATTCCTTTTGAGGAAGTAAAAAAGTTTTTACAAAGTCCTAATGCAGTTTTATTACAAAAACTGGACTAAAATAAAAATAAAACTGTTGACACAGAGATATGTGGCGCATGTCTGTAATGTTGATAGTATAACGCAAATTTTGAAATTAAAATGGCAATACTTTCAACTTGTCAACTATTCAAAAACATTCAAAGTCAATGAACCACGACTGATTGGACAGGGTCAAATATTCTCCAAGAAAAAGAGATAAGCTATTGCTTAAATAAATGAATACCAAGTATTATTTATTTATCACAAAAAGGTCCCTATAACTAACGTGAGCACAAACATTATTTATACATGTAAACCATGCAAAAGTTTCAGTCAATAGACCATTACTGAAGAAAAGTGGCCAAATAAACTCCATGAATATAAAATGTGCCAAAGCTAATACAACTGTATAAAAAATATAATTCACCTACCATTAGCATGATTAGTGGTTCATCTTAAACTTACCTAATCACAAGCTTTAACATGTAAAATATGCCAAAGTTTCAATGTCAATAGACAGAGAATAACGGACAGTGCCAAATATTCTCCATGGAAATGAGATGTGTTGCTTTTCCAACTGTATACCAAATACACTGACTTACTGTCTTACCATTAATGGTTCCCTTGAAACTGACCAAACTTATCAAATTGTAGAAACATTTGCAACTTAAATGTAGTTGAGGTGTGACAAAAATGGGGATTTGGCATTTCGTAACAGTCATTAATGAGTGAGGAATTGGGGACTGTTTACCCCCAATGACCTATCTATAGCAATGACAGCAATGTTTGTTGATGGGTATGAATAAACATTTAAGACATAATTTTACTCATGAATATTTTTCAAAATGTTTATAAAAGGTAATGAACTGCTGACATAATTGGAACAATAAACAAACATGTAAGATAATAATTCCATATTATAATGACCATAATGACCAGTCAAAGGAATCTCTATACAATTAATATTTACCTGTTATTTGTTGCTAACTGGACTTCATCTTTGATCCATGTGTACAGAGGGGGTGGCACCGCTTTGATCTTACACTCAAACCGTGCGACCCCTCCTTCGTCAACAATTTTATCTACAGGTTCAGAGCTATACTCTTTTGCTATGCCTAAAAATATGATAACAAATATATAATCATTTCAATTTTGACATAGTCCACATATTTTAAATGTCTCTCTTTGTTTGAATTGAAAGTTTTGCTATTTTTCAGATGAAGTATTAAACTATGAAAAATTTGACTTTTCACCTCAAACTGAAACATAGATATATTTTCTTTCCATATCATCATTGCGCACATCATAATAGACTTTGTGTCAAAATTTTAAGAAAAATCTCCTTTGTTTTGTATGCCACTTTTTATGTAGCAATTATATTTATTGAATACCAATTGGCAACGATTTTGACAATACAACTTGAATTGTGAAATAATTAGCATATGCTCTTCTTTGCTTCAAATATTTTACAAGAAAACCAGGGAATAATGAACTCTTTTAGCGAAAGAAGGATCGGTATTCACATGATTTCTAGTTCTCTCCCTTGAATTTTGTAGTGGTATTTTCCGACTGGTTCACAACAACATTTTATTTGTTTATACAGTATAGTCATGACAGTAACTACATTTAATATTTATTTGTTATTAGCAGTCAAAATAAGCACCAAAACATTACATGAGCTGTATGTATCAACCTTATGCAAGTGTATGTATGTTTATATATGTAGCTGTATGTATCAACCTTATGCAAGTGTATGTATGTTTATATATGTAGCTGTATGTATCAACCTTATGCAAGTGTATGTATGTTTATATATGTAGCTGTATGTATCAACCTTATGCAAGTGTACGTATGTTTATATATGTATAAGACTTTGTTTAATTTTGGAACATTCAAAAACGATTCAAAGATGAATTTTGGTCTGATATATAGGGTTCTCATATCAACACAGTTATCTCATATCAACAGTTACATATACTGATTGTGCATAGCAATTTTTTCAACCCGACAAAAGGTTGACAGATGTATTGATATTCATTTGAATAAGGTCGATTTCTATCCGACGCAGCTAACATCATGCATGTAAACTTTGATTAGCCTCAAGATAGAAATGATTGTCCTTATGCTCAGTAAGTAGGGTTATAGAAGAGTATGTCAATTGAAAAAATAAAACTATGATAGAAAATGAAAGATCAAATTCCTAAACTGTTTTACCCGCATAAGATCATTCTTACATGGGTTAATATTCTTATATAAAACGGATAAAACAATCAATGAGAGAAATCATCATTATAACATTGCACCTTCTGTTAATATTTACACCAACAAGGCCACACATGCCAATCACAAATACTTGAAGGTCATGATGACATAAAGAAAATATGTTTTACGGCACAAAATTTTTCTAATCATTTAATAATTACATATATGCATGCAATTATGAAATAAACAAAATTCCTTAATAACTAAAATCTGTACTTCATATAGAGTTTATCACAATACACAATCACAATGTTGAATATTAATATAAAAATATATAACTGGCTATTATTTCAACTTGGAATTATTTTAATTATGGAATTTGCATAATTTCTTGTGCTTGAAAATTTTAATAAATTCCATGTTTATTCTGTATTTTAATGTTCTGTGCAGCGCGCACAACACTTTCCATTTGAAAGAAGAATGCACATTTTCAATAGAATGTACTGTGCGGCGCACAACACTACATGTATCTATACAAAATACATTGTATGGAAAGTGTTATGCACCGCTCAAAACATTATTATACAGAATAAACATGGAATTTATTAAAAATTTCAAGCACAAGAAATTATGCAAATTCCATAATTAAAAATAATTCCAAGTTGAAATAATAGCCTGTGATATATATCATAATTCATAAACATGAAAATGTCAAACTACATAATTTGCCATATTTATTTGTTTCATTAATTTCTTTACAGCTGGACATTTTTAGAATCAACAGATGCTACTATATAATTATGAGATTCTCTGGCTCACATTCCTTCTGTTCGTGTTAACAAATTTTACATAAAATTGATAAAAAAAATGTTTCAACTATTTTGTGTTTTCCTAAAAAGGCCCTAGAATTACTTAATTATATATTCTACAAGACTTGAAATACTTTTTGTGGCTTATGAAACCTGTATGTGGTTAAAGACAAGATGTTGGTATAATAACTTCTTTAGCTAATGAACATTTTTTTGTTCGCGCTAACACATGCTCCCTTCCAGTACCTCAATACCTTGGCACTATTTCAGCCATAAGCTGACCCACAAATAAAAAAAAATAGTCCCTTCTCCTTGTACTGAAATATTTTGCATTCTCAATAAATATTATTCTAACTGTGATGATATTCATTAAAGAAACACAAATTAAATGGACTTCTTTCTCTTGAAGTTGCAAAAATGTTCTATTTACAAATGTATTATAAATCTTATTCCACATGATGTAAATGACCTGACATGACCTTTGCTGAATGGGTCACACATCAGAGAATTATGGGGCCACAAAGAGGGAACTATTCACTCTTTGTTTACAAATATTTAATTCAAGATTAAAGGTTTTAAAATTGAAATTGTAAAAACGAAGCTTAAAAGGAATTAAACTTAATGTTTACCCTTCTAATCCCACTAAGAATGTTCCGATAGAAAAATGTGTTAATTTATAGGATTTTGACTTGCTATATGTTGTATTGATTTTTCCTGGGCTATAAAAATTCCAATTCAATGTGATTTTAAAATAAATTCCAGTTCTTAAAAGAGGATGATACATCAATTAAAAGAGTTCATTCAACAATTTCATGCATTTCAATTGCAACCTCAACAAATTATAAACACAAAAGAACAATTAGGAGATATTCAAATTCAACATTTAACAAAAAATTATTTATGCTAAAAATTATAAAAGTTTATAAATATAGAATGTTCCATTTCATTAGAATTAAATCCAACCTCATCCTTATTTAATTTCTAAATTGCCCCGTTTTTGATTTTTGTTTTTGACAGACTGATCATTTTGGCCTATTGTTCTGTAAATAAAACTAAGATAACCTTCTGTGACATGATACCCAAATTGACATAAAAAAAAAAAAATTAGCAATGTATAAAAGCGAGACCAGGGCATTAGATTTAATAATTTTATCTTTAAATAGGTAATTTATCATGAGGCTGAGGTCACTAGAGCAACCAACGTTAAGAATGATTGTTGCAACCACTAACTATTTGTCTTACACTGTACCATGGAGTTGTTTCCCTTGGGCCATCCTTTAAAAAAAATTTTGTTTGATGTTGCCTACCCACTATATATGCCTTAGGGTTGGGTAGGTAGGTAGCGATTTCATTTATTTTCGCCAACAACACAAGTTACATGTTTTAAAAAAAAAATGTTAAAAAAAAGGAACCCATTTGAGTCAAATTTTTTTGGGTAGGCTGCTTTTTAGGTTGGTAAGTAAAAAAACTGCTTCGCTGAGCGCAGCTGGATATGCCCGCAGAGGTCCAACCCTGAACAGTTGGGGCAAAAATGGACACAATATTTAAGCTTGATACAGGTCTGAATTTGGATTGTATTAAATATTTGACATATTATAGGTTTCTGAATAAATATAGTCAAAGAACTTGAAATTGGTTATATGAATTGAATTTATATTCAATTAAAGATTTCTTGCTGTTGTGCAATACACTGTGCTGTTGCGCAATACTTAGTAAATCTGTTGTCAGACTATAAACAAATAAAGTTCAATTAATTCTCAGTCATATTAGAAATTTATGAAAATGTAAAGGGAGCTTACATCAATAGATATAAACAATTCACCAAAGTTTCATGAGAATTGCTGACAGCATTTTTGAGTTATTGTCCGAAAACTGGAAAATCCCCCCTTTTTTAATGAATAAAACCCCATAACTCAGAAAGTAAAATGTAAAATTTATAAAATTCTAAATGGGGCTTACATCAATAGATATAAACAATTCACTAAAGTTACATACGAACTGCTGAAAGCACTTTTGATTTTTTGTCCGAAAACTGGAAAATCCCCCTTTGAGGGAGCTAATGTCAATAGATACATGTATGAACAATTCACCAAAGTTTTATGCAAAAAAATTCTAAAATTGGAAAAAAGACTTCATATTTTGTATTTGGAAATAGTTTATTATCAGAACACTTTTTATAATTGGAATGTAGGTTTACAAACATATAAACATGTTTGTTATGCTAAATATCGGAGTCATGTGCATTTGGATTGAAAATTTTTCACAAATCCTGAGCCAACTTTAGTGAATTTAACTGAAAATTGAGGGTAACATAAACTTCTCCTTGAAGCTTCTTTTAAGCTAAGTCGGGAACCCTGGGAAATAATATCACTCACCTATGCAACAAATGACAATAAATACATTAAATGGAAATCATTCAACATGAAAAAATATAAAGTACACTAAAATTTTGAAAATGTGAAGTGACAGTTTGTGTCAGAATGTAAAATTATTATATTTTCAAGTAAAATTTATCGCAACTGTCATGTTTAAAGAATAAAACTATCCTTGTAGGATAGGGAGAATCTGTGACATCATTACGACTATGTCAGTCGTTTGGTAAAAAAACAGAAACACAGAAGCTAAGTGTACATAGCTAAACGCAATAGTGTACATAGCTAAACGCAATAGTGTACATAACTAAACGCAATAGTGTACAGCTAAACGCAATAGTGTATATAACTAAACACAATAGTGTACAGCTAAACGCAATAGTGTACATAACTAAACGCAATAGTGTACATAGCTAAACGCAATAGTGTATAGCTAAACGCAATAGTGTATAGCTAAACGCAATAGTGTACATAGCTAAACGCAATAGTGTACATAGCTAAACACAATAGTGTACATAGCTAAACGCAATAGTGTACATAGCTAAACGCAATAGTGTACATAGCTAAACGCAATAGTGTACATAGCTGAACACATGTGAAAAACATTAGTTGCGCTAATATTGCAGTGCAAGATTTTGGTGATTGTTCACTGAAATTCAGTGGAGAAGACTGATACATGTATCACTATCATACCTATTATTGTTTTGAAACATATAACATGACCCATGTAGAGATTGTATGGCATAGAGTGCATTTCACTACAATTTTTAGATAGATGTACTTACTTGCTACTTCAAGAGTGACCCGTCTAGCTATAATGCTGCCTATTTTATTCTGTACTACACATTGTAGATAGATGTACTTACTTGCTACTTCAAGAGTGACCCGTCTAGCTATAATGCTGCCTATTTTATTCTGTACTACACATTGTAGATAGATGTACTTACTTGCTACTTCAAGAGTGACCCGTCTAGCTATAATGCTGCCTATTTTATTCTGTACTACACATTGTAGATAGATGTACTTACTTGCTACTTCAAGAGTGACCCGTCTAGCTATAATGCTGCCTATTTTATTCTGTACTACACATTCATATATTCCCTCATCAGATATATTCTTCTTCTTTTTATACCATACACGTTTGAAGTACAGGGACCCATTCTGTACTCTCTGAATACGATTGTCAAAGTCTAATAAAATCCCATCTTTCCTCCAAGTTATATTTGGTACTCCATACTCTGAGGATTTAATCTCTACCGAACAGTTCAACAACAGTTTCCCGTTCTTCTGCGCCACAACATGGTGGCGGTCCTGGCTGTTGACTACTATGCCTGATGACAGTGGTTCATTGTTCCCATTATTCCCTGTGATACAAACAAAAATACTCATTTCAAATTTGCATATTTTTTGTCATAAAATTAAATACCAAAGTTCATATCATGATGAAAATGTATACTAAGTTTCAAGTTGATGTGACTACAACTTCAAGATACATTTGTACATGTAAACTACAAATGTACCTCATCTTAAACAAGCATTCTGTGAGTATTGCATGGCAATACATATTCCCCTACTGGTTACAAATTCATTGTAATGGAACAAAATTCTAACTTGATCTATAACTTGTCATGGTGTAAACTACATAAAATAACAAGCAAACCTACCACTAAATTCTTCAAACAATTTACTAAAGAATGGGAAAAAAATCCAAAATGTAATTTATCATTGATACAATGTCTTTTAAAAAATAAAATGCTTCGCTGGGCGCAGCTTGATACGACCGCAGAGGTCGAACCCTGAACAGTTGGGGCAAGTATGGACACAACATTCAAGCTTGATACAGCTCTGAATTTGGATTGTGATTAAATATTTGACACAGCATATGTTTCTGACACAGAAAGAATGTGGTCTAAGAACTTCAATTTTTTTAATTTACCTATTATGGTCCAATGTCCAAAATCAAAATACATGGTTAGATTCAGCATATCAAAGAACCCCATATATTCAATTTTTGTTGAAATCAAACAAAGTTTAATTTTGGACCCCAACTTGGACAAACTTGAAAACTGGTCCCATAATCAAAAATCTAAACACATGTTTAGATTCAGCATATCAAAGTACCCAAAGAATTCAATTTTTGTTAAAATCAAACTAAGTTTAATTTTGGACCCTTTGGACCTTAATGTAGACAAATTTAAAAAACAGAACCCAAAATTAAAAATCTAAAAACACGGTTAGATTTGGCATATCAAAGAACCCCAATAATTCAATTTTTGTTAAAATCATACTAAGTTTAATTTTGGACCCTTTGGACCTTAATGTAGACCAATTTAAAAAACAGGACCCAAAATTAAAAATCTAAATACACGGTTAGATTTGGCATATCAAAGAACCCCAATAATTCAATTTTTGATGAAATCAAACAAAGTTTAATTTTGGACCCTTTTGACCTCAATATGAACCAATTTGATAGCGGGCCCACAAATAAAAAATCTAAATACATGGTAAGATTCAGCATATCAAAGAACCCCATATATTCAATTTTTGTTGAAATCAAACAAAGTTTAATTTTGGACCCCAATTTGGACCAACTTGAAAACTGGGCCAAAAATCTAAAATCTAAATACATGTTTAGATTCAGCATATCAAAGAACCCCATATATTCAATATTTGTTGAAATCAAACAAAGTTTAATTTTGGACCCCAACTTGGACCAACTTGAAAACTGGTCCCATAATCAAAAATCTAAACACATGTTTAGATTCAGCATATCAAAGAATCCCAAAAATTCAATTTTTGTTAAAATCAAACTAAGTTTAATTTTGGACCCTTTGGACCTTAATGTAGACAAATTTAAAAAACAGGACCCAAAATTAAAAATCTAAATACACGGTTAGATTTGGCATATCAAAGAACCCCAATAATTCAATTTTTGATGAAATCAAACAAAAGTTTAATTTTGGACCCTTTTGACCTCAATATGAACCAATTTGATAGCGGGCCCACAAATAAAAAATCTAAATACATGGTAAGATTCAGCATATCAAAGAACCCCATATATTCAATTTTTGTTGAAATCAAACAAAGTTTAATTTTGGACCCCAATTTGGACCAACTTGAAAACTGGGCCAAAAATCTAAAATCTAAACACATGTTTAGATTCAGCATATCAAAGAACCCTAAGAATTCAATTTTTGTTAAAATCAAACTAAGTTTAATTTTGGACCCTTTGGACCTTAATGTAGACCAATTTAAAAAACGGGACCCAAAATTAAAAATCTAAATACACGGTTAGATTCGGCATATCAAAGAACCCCAATAATTCAATTTTTGATGAAATCAAACAAAGTTAAATTTTGGACCCTTTGGACATCAATGTGGACCAATTTAAAAACGGGGCCCAAAATCCAAAAACTTAATACACGGTTAGATTCAGCATATTAAAGAACCCCAAGAATTCAAGAATAAAACCCCATTGAAATTGATCAAGAAATAAGCAATTTATACGAAGTATCTTCTTTTGCACAATACTGTGCAATTGAATATTTCTTGCTATTGCGCAATACTGTACAATTGACAATTTCTTGCTATTGCGCAATATTGTGCTATTGGATATTTCTTGCTATTGCGCAATACTGTTAAATTGAAGATTTCTTGCTATTGCGCAATACTGTGCAATTGAAGATTTCTTGCTATTGTGCAATACTGTGCAATTGAAAATTTCTTGCTATTGCACAATACTTATTATATAATAATTTACACATCCTGTTTGGTGTGTATCTCCTACCATATCATTATTATTTGCTTTTAAATATAAATCAGAAATAACCAACTTAAAATGGAAAATTTTAAAAGAAAAAAGGAAAAAAAAAGGAAAAAAAAGAAAAAAAAAAAAGGAAAAAATTCCCCCCCCCAAATTTTTTGAACCCCCTTATGATTCATCACCCCCAAACTCAATCCCAGCCTTCCCTTTGTGGTATGGTACCTTGCAGTACAATTTCAGAGAGATCCATACACTTGAACACAAGTTATTGTCTGGAAACTAGAAAAATGCTTATTTTTGGCCCCTTTTTGGCCCCCAATTCCTAAACGTTTCGGGCAATTACCCCCAAACTCAATTCCAGCTTTCCCTTTGTGATATGGAACCTTGTAGTACAATTTCAGAAATATCCAAACACTTACACACAAGTTATTGTCATGAAACTAGAAAAATGCTTGTTTTTTGCCCCTTTTTTGGCCCCTAATTCCTAAAATTTTGAGGCAATTACCCCCAAAATCAATTACAGCCTTCCCTTTGTGATATGGAACCTTGTGGTACAATGTCAGAGAGATCACTACACTTACACACAAGTTATTGTCTAAAAGTTACAAAAATGCTTATTTTTGGCCCCTTTTTGGCCCCTAATTCCTTAACTGTTGGTACCATAACCCCCAAAATCAATCCCAACCTTCCTTTCGTGGTATTGAACCTTATGGTGAAATTTCATGGAGATCCATTCACTTAAACTAAAGTTAGAGTGCGAAAACCAATGTGTCTTCGGACGACGCCAGACGACGCCGGACGACGACGACGACGACGACGACGACAACGACGACGACGACGACGCCAACGTCATACCAATATACGACCAAAAAATTTTTAATTTTTGCGGTCGTATAATGAGTTATTTCCCTTTGAACAGAAATCTAGTAATTAATAAGTATTTCATCAAAAATTTAATTCTAGGGAAAGGGCTTTCACTGAACAAGGAGAAAAGCTAAAATCGTGAAAATTGAAATTGACCTGTAACTTGTCATGATAAAACAATACACCAAATATCAAATCAATATCTTCAAGCATGAAGAAAAAAAGTCTGGAAAACTGATTTGCTGGACTGACAGATAGACAGACAGAGTGCAAACCTAAAGTCCCCTTCGAAGTCGGTAGGGGACTAATAAAGAGCTGTATCATCAGCACATGATACACCGTCATCCTTTTTGGTCGTCTTTATGCTTTAAATGAATTGATATAATTACCTAGAAATACAGTAATAACTGCTCAAACAGACCACCTAAAAAAAGACATGCACGCAGTGGTACCCATTGACACAAAACATGAATAATTAGGCACTACTGAGGCTGCCTTAAGTTTGTGGCCTTGATTTTTTAACAATTCAAATTCTACAATTGTCCAAAGTGTGAAAAATGGACAGTAATCAACGATTTTTAAACAAAATTAAGTTCTATAACTCCACTATATCATATCAGAAATTTATAAAAACCAAAGGAAGCTTATTTCAATAGATATAAACCAGTCAACAAAGTATAATGAAAACAGCTCAAAGCGTTTTTGAGTTATTGTCCTAAAACTGGAAAATCCCCCCATGTTTATAAATAAAGTCCCAATACTCCAATACGCAAAATCAGAAATTTAAAAAAATCAAAAGGGAACTTATGTCAATAAATATATACAATTCACCATAGTTTCATGAAAATTGCTCAAAGCATTTTTGTATTAATATTATAGTCAGAAAACTGGAAAATCCCCCGTGTTTTTAAGAATAAAATTTCAGAACTCGGAAATGTAAAATCCAAAATTCATAAAAATCAAAAAGAGCTTACAGAATTAGATATAAACAATTCACCAAAGTTTCATGAAAAGTGGTTTTGAGTTATTATCCGAAGTCTTGACGACGGATGGACAGACTGACAACGATATACCATAACACATCCTGTAAACGGACGTACATGTATAAAAATGTAACCACATACAGGACAGATGAAAATTCTTACTTAATATTAACCACAATCTTAACATAACATTACAGTGTACATTATACAACACTGATAGTTTTTAAGGCTCCTTCAACAGTAACTACAATAAATATCAAACTGTTTTCAGACTCCTGAATGACTTAATCATTATCATTTTGTGCTTTCATATACTCGAATGACTTAATCATTATCATTTTGTGCTTTTATATACATTGTAGGTAAATAAAAATACATAGATAAAATACTATTATTTCCAATTGCCGATACATTAAGGTAAAAATTTTCAATCAGAAAAAATAAAGTATTAATTCTAAAAAAAATAGACAACATAAAAAAGTCCCCAAAATGGTTCACATCACAACTTAATAATTTTTTTTGTAATATAACACCAAAAATTGACAACTTTTGACAATTAAAATTGTGAACAAAGTACTATTTGTATAAAATTGATGATGAAACAAAATCTGAAAATTTACAAATACAAATTCTATCACAAATTTCTACATGAGTTATCTTTCCTGATTGTGAACAATGTACAAAATGTACTAACATTCTTCATCTCAGTGATGCTACTGCCTAACGGTCAAGATGTCAATGTTCAAACTGAGGC